TAGGTCCGCATAATCGTTAATTGCTTGCGTTAAAAAAGAGGTACGTTGATGGTAGCAAGCATAGTTTTAAGAAAATAAAGTTTTATATAGCAATACTTTTATCTAATTCTGGCTTCCAATAGTGACTTCACCCGAAGAATCAAATATTTCAGCCACATCAGGATTTCGATGCCTTGTAAAATATTTTAAGTGTCATTCTTGAATATTTAGGAAAGCAATTAAAATGATGAAAGAGAATGCAAAAAAACATTGTACAGTGCAGCGTTGTTTTAAATCGTGCTTATTTCCAGTTTACCTCCCATATCTCTCTTCCAAAACACATTGGTATTTTCTCCGCCTAGTTTATAATAAATCTAGAAAAGAATTTTTTCATATATTCCTGCATAAGTTTCGATCCCATAAAGATATTTTCGAAAGCCTTTGTTTCAAGGATCACTTTCATGATCAATCCAAAAATGTTTCCCAGTCGGTTTACTAACGCGTCCGTGATTCAAGATAAAATTTAGTACAATGCTGGCTTGGAATTAAAATTTTCCGATCTAGAGCCTACGATCGAGAGTCTTTTTATATGGAATATGCAAATGGTCTTTTCAAACATTTGAGTAGCAGTTTTTCAAAGATGTAATCACGAGATTGAAAGTTATATACGGAAATTTAGAAAAATATAAAGCAGTTTTTTTCGAGGTCTTTCCATTTCTTCTATATTGTGGGCGTGTGAATGAACAAAACATTTTTATACCCAGCACCGACGGACGGATGGTTGATTTTCTTCATAACAACGAACACGGCCTCTTATATCTGAAAAAAAAATATTTTCCACAAATAACAATAAAGACAGCGCCGTGGAATTGTAGATCCCTGATAATAGGTGTTTGCGAAAATGATGCCAGAAATATTGTAAAATTTTGTAGAAAACGATAGAAACTATTTTGATTAATATACAGCATTGATAATATAGATCAATTTTTCTCAATAAATGCATGTTTCAGCTGAAAAAATGATCAACAAAAAGCCAACAGTTTCGAGACTTTTACTATACCAACCAACCAGAAGATATGTTGTATCCAAAAGAAAGCTTCAGAGACCCTACAAAGTGTATTAATTTATTCTCGATCAGCGTGGAATTCTGAATTGGTTAAGGCATGTCTGCCCATCTCTGCGTCTGTGTGCCCGTGTGTCTTTACGGTATTTGTTGTTGGCACTCTCCTAATCTCAAAAATGAAGAAATCAAGTTAAAATTTGGCACAGACATTGGAAGTTTTTGCCAGCAGGTTGGTATAGTGTTGAGCATAAAATGAACACAACTTCGTTTTTCTTAACAAAAATTTGTGGGTTAGAAGGCTGAAATTTTCCACATTTACTTTACGAAACAATGTACCCTTTAGGTGCAATAACGGGCAAACCGACCATGCCCAAATAAAGTCACAAGTGATTAAATTTTATTTTTTTCACTTTTTTGAGGTCTTATGCTTATTTATCATAACGCAAACGAGGCGGAATTTTTAAAACTGTTTTGTGACAAATGAAGTTGTATTACCTACCTAAAAATGGGTTAATTCTAAAATGAGTATGATATGATAGATACCGCGACGTTGTGGATTCGTTTTTTCTTACTAATACAAGCGATATGGGTATCAAATAAAAGAACTTGGGGAATAGAATGCGAAAAGCATAGTGGTGGGAGAATGCGAGATTAAGTCCATGCCGAATATATAACTTTCCTACTTGTTTAACTTCATATTCCTAATCGGGCAAGGAATGCTTGTGGCAAATTTCAGCATTCTATCTTTATTTTTGCGAGCTTGCAAAATATTAACCATAAAATTGATGAGACTCCGTAGACAGGAAAATGACAAAAGGGACTTGTCCCAGGAAAACAGAGTAGACATATATATTGGCTGCGCTATATAATTAAAAACCTCTAGATGACATGTAAGAATATCTACCTGCCGATGCAGAATTTTTAAGCTCAAAATGTGTAATCTGTCAAATTGTTAGGTGTCGTATAAATAATAATAACAAATAAAGCGTTCACAATAAGAAAAAAAAATCGTGCACAACATATAAAAGCCCAGTTACAATTGACTTCTAGATAAAGATCCGTAGGCTGTTTTTTTAGCTGATTTTCTTTGTAAACTTTTAGTTAAAATTAATCTATCGAAATCGAAGCTCATAGTTATGGACTTTTGATGACTTTTAAATGAAAATGAAAAAAAAATTAATTTTAAACAATTTTATGTATAATCGTTTATTGAAAGATTTTTTTAAATGTTTGTGCGGATCAATTAACCGGATCAATCCCCAATAACATTCAATTAATTTAGTTTAAAATAATTAATGCACGGTCTGGCATCGCTCGAATAACGTTCAACAGATATATACATATACATATATATACATAAACACACATACACTCGCACGCACGTATGAAACATGAAAAACCTGACTTAAACCCAATTAAACTAACATTCAAGAAAACAGTTTAAAAAGATCTCTCGAATGTTTGGGTTAGAATACGGAATAACAAAGTGCAACTACTCGTGTAAATATTATCGCATAACGTTTATGAAGACAGTAACAAAAAAAAAAATATATAGTCTATTATAAGAAAAAAATAAAAAGACGCACACAATAAGAATGATAATAAAATTTTAAAAAAATATATAAACAAAAAAAATCGAAAAATTATTTATATTTGAATATCTGCGTGGTTGTGTGCACTGTTTTTTTTTTTTTTTGATTTTGTTTGCTTTGCAAACACAAACGGTAGTTGGAAATGCGTATATGTATAGATATATAAATATATATAAATGTGTGTTTATGTATGTGTATTAGTGCTTATTGTTTATGATATCGCCTTTTCGCTTGCAATCTCACGTAATTCACTAGAACTTTTACACTTTTATGCTTTTGCGCTTTTGTACTTTTACACGAACAAAGTAATTGAGATCTGCAAATATTATCTAAATTTTTTACATTTATTTTTATTTCAATTCTCTGCTACACTATATGCACACGCATCTCTCTACGCACGCATGCATGCATGCATGCATGCATAAGTGTCATTCATATACATTCATGAGCGCAGAAATATTTTTAGAAAAATTTCAATAATGTTTTTTAGTTCATTTTATTATTGATTTTATAAAAAACAAAATAAAAATATTTTTGTAATTTATGTATGTGTAGTTGGTTGTTTTTTTTTGCTTTGCTCTACAGCTTGAAGTTTTAGTAGGTGGACGAAGTCTCTTCTAACCAATGCAACATTTTTTAAGTAAGTGTGCGTGAGTGTGTGCGGAAAAACAGGTTTTCTTATTTATCATTTATTTATTGCTATCTATTGTTTGTATGACGCATAAAAAGTCAGCGTTCGTTTGCTTGTGAGTCTGATTTAATTGGAAATTCGGTTGAATTGCGAACAATTTTTGTTTGAAAATTCAATTCAAAGTGAACCCCGCCTTGGAAAATAATCAGTTCAAAAGTGATGCTTGCTAGATATTCCTGGTTTAATTAAACAAACTCAGGAATGTCGATGACTCATATGAAGTTGTAATGATTGAAAAGCACAAATATTTCAAAGTAATTACGAAAACGATAATCGCGTCGAGTTAAGCCTTAGATCACCGGTATCACCGTTCAGCATGAATACAAAAGTCGAAAAGTTTTCTATGAGAACGTCAGCAAGTCGTCATGAGACTATATCTAATAAGCATTTCTGGCAAATTGCAGATTAATTTCCACCTTAGGCGGCATATCCCAGATGAAGATGTCTAGAAATTTTTCCTCAATATTTATTCTGGCTTTTTTAGCTTGTAGGAATGTGTTTGCACTTCTCTTCTTTAAAAATCTATTTTTGCATAAGGCACTCCAGACGCTAATAATTGCGCTAACAAAAATGCTTAGAAAGTTCAACTTCTTTATGAGGAAATTTCAATTAGTTAGCTCCAACAACAGATGGATAGAGTGAAGGACATTTATAATATCATTCAAGACACTCAAGACGAAGATGAATGCTGTGAAAGTTCCTTTCTGCGGAAATTTCAATCTGCCAACTCTAAGTCCACATGGACAGAAGAAAGGTCATGTCAAATTTTACTCAAAATACCAGTGTAAAGTACGATAATAAGGAGGCTCTTAAAGTTAAAGTTATTCTTAAAGTGATTTCAATTTGCGAGCTTCAAAAACAGATGGACAAAAAGATGGATCTATCTAAATCCACTCAAGGCACTCACGACGCTAATAGTTACGCTAACAAAAATACTCTGAAAGTTAGGCCACCTTCTGATGAAATTCCAATTTGCCGGCTGCAAAAAACGATGGACAGAAGGGCCGACATAACTAACTTCACTCAAGGTACTTAAGACGCTAATGATTACTCTAATAAAAGTGAGAGGATTTCATCTTGCGGGCTCTTAAAATAGATAAACTAAGGTATAACTAAGGCATAACTAATTTCATTCGAGGCACTCAAGACGCTAATAATTACGCTAACAAAAATGTTGTGAAACTTAGACTTCTTTCTGCGAAAATTTCAATTCGCGAGCTCTTAGAACGGATAAACTAAGGGGCAGACACACCTATTTTCAAAATGCCGCTAAAAAATGCTCTAAAATTTAAGCTTCCTTCAGAGGAAATTTCAAACGGCGAGCTCTAAAATCGGATGGACAGAAAGACTGACATATCTACTTTCACTCAAATATGTCATTTGTTGTCTATCAGAAGCGCTTTGGTAGACGATTTATTCTAATTCCTAAAGTTTACCAAAGTATAGGTGAACATAAAGTTCCGACCTGAAGTTTTGAGATGAAAGGATCAACGAAAACTAATTTCAAAATTTACGAAAGAAATCGAAATATTTGGTTTTCTTACCCAGGTGGTACCTCGATGCTTTGATTAGGTGCGCTACATGCGTATTTATTTATATATACAATTTTTGACACGTATTTTTCTGTGTTGCAAGCGATATAGTGAATTTAATATATTCTCAGCCTTCGCGGTGATGGGAATAACGTTAAAAATAATTATTTATCTTGTTCTTTTGAAAGCAATGAACTTTTTATAACGATTACTTGGAAAAACTTGTTAAAAGAGTTAACAAAAAACAAAAAGCAAACAAAAAAACAAAATTTGATTAATAGTAGTATAGAGAGAATCGTGATTTATATTTTTCATGAATTGTGGATTTTTATACAGATCACTGTGTTAATGATAATTTTTGGTGTGTGATAAATTTTTGCTTTTACTCTTAAGAGTGTAAACATTTTGTTGCATAAAAAAAAAAAAAAAAACAAAAACAAAACAAAAGACTTAACATACAAACTCGTTATAGTGCAGATCAGACTCGCTCTCTCAAGATGACTTCCCACATGAGATATGTTTTCATGACAATGTTTATACAAATTGTTGTCTTTCATGTAAGTATTCGCTTATTTTGTACTTAAAGCAATTCAAGGTAGAATTAATTTTGATAAACGATCTGTGAAAAGTGATATGAAAAGATATGAACTGATATTGTTTTTAATAAAAATCGAAATGAAAATCAATTCTTAAAATAGAATCTAGGAGTGAAAATTATGTTAATTTTGTTAAACCCTCATCAAGACAGACTATGCGTAAAAGCTGGTCATTTTATAAGTGACCTATGGCAATTTATTTGAAGATCGAGAGATTTATTTACGCATATATAATGTATTTTTAATATATACGTATGTATATGCATATTTTAAATATATACAAATGTAGGTACGATTTCTGTATGTACACATACATGAACATGCGTCCGCACACATATATGCATATATGTATGTGTCTCCATGTGTCTCCATGTGTAGAGCGTAAATTGCTTATACAATTACTCGTATTGTCTAGGAAGGTAAGGCCATTTCCCTCGTACCACGTAATGGCGTCGACCAAGCGCTCTGCTTCTTCATAAACGAAAATTGTGTTCGACTAATGTTATTATAAGAGGGCTGAGTGTTCCCAAGAATGGCCAACATGTCCGATTTTTTAACATTTCCAGTACTTTTTTGACAAGACAAATTATTACACAACGTAAATAGAGAAACATGTTAAAATACTGAACTTAGGTTAATTTTCAAAATGAACGGCTTTTACCCTCATTGGAAATCAAACGTAACGACTATTCAAGCAATTTTAACTCAAATTATTCTATAGATAAAAAAAAGAAATAATTATGTGCTCATAATTTCATTTAAATTTGATCTACACAGCCTGTGCACATATGTATATATGACTTAATGTACGTGAGTGTTGTTGATTTGCATACTTAACGCCTGCATTACTAAATTTAGATGGTTTTCATTTATTATTTTTCAATGTCAATTGTTATAGGTGTATAAATAGTATATATAGTAACTCATTACGTCTTTTTTCTTTGTCTAATTTGTCTTAACTAACTTTAGGACATATGACCATAAGTAACTTTATATATATTTATATATATGTCTACTTAAGAATAACAGCGAATCATAATGAATTTATATGAAACTGATTGCGCTCACCAATGTTATTAGCGTGGCTAAATTAAGGCTCAGCTAGAGCACTAATAGACAGACATTTAGTTGCTTGAACAATGTTTGCAATTAATTACATCGAAAATCATATTTATTACAATTGCTTTAGTTAGTTAAAACGCAACACATATAGCTATGTACATAAGTGCAAGTACATCTGAACAAGACTTGATCTACAGGAATGATGCAGAAACTAGTGACTAGGTTAGTAGTGTCTTTGGACGTTAGAGAAATAGAGTAAAAACAATAAAAAGTAAAGAAAGAAGAAGAGAACGAGATTGCGAGAAGAGGTGGGAGATGGGAGGGAGAGAAATACCGACCGATCACTGGTTTGTTACATATGTCGACTTGAATCTGTGAAAGTAAATCTCAAACTCACTAAGAAATTGTTGTGCAAACAACTAGTTTTAGAATTCATATGTATATACATATATATATATATATATATACATATATCCATACATTATACATAATTGTCGTGCAGATGCTATGCTCATACATTTTTTCATCCATAAACGCAAGGTATATTAACCTTGTCATTTCTGTTGCGAAGCATAGGGAGATAAATGAAATGAATGACAAGACTTGAAAAGAAAGAAATATTTTTAAATTATAACTTAAACCAGATAAGAACGATTCTTCCTAATTTGGCCAAGTTAGATGCACACCCATATCAAATGTGCATAAGAAGAAGAAATGGCAATCTCTTCTAATTGTTTGCATAGTTTTGATGAATATTTTTATAGAGCACAAAATCCACATGAGTTGCAGCCACAAATATGTCTAATAAATTTATTTCTTTCGGTCTTGGCCCCTGTTTTGCTCTTGTCGCCCAGCTAAATATGAATCGAGTGTAACATAAAGTAATGTCAATCAATTAGTTGGCAATTGTTAAACAACAAATATTACGAGGGAAAGCAGGGATAATAAATTTTAAGTTTTCTAGTTAGGGAAGGCTTGCGTCAATGAACAGCGTACAACACTCTTCCATGACTTTTTCAAAATATTACTTTTTTAGAGCAAGCTGACGGAGAAGAGATGCGGCGAGATTGGTGGTCACAAAAATTGTTCGATCAATAGGGTTTATATACAAATATTTCGAAAATTGTGACATATGAGCTAAACAAAGACATATGAGCTAAGGGCACTTCAATTGATTCAGCCCTTTAGACCTTTAGGGCACTTATGAATCCCGCTCACTTTCTTATCATATGATGTTCGGTATACTATCGTTTGCATAGAGTACTGTTTGTTAGCAACGATGCAGCACTTTAAGAAACGTGAAGAAATCGAGACAAAGCTCGACGAAGGGTTTGCTTGAGAAGGAGAATCGATCTTTTAAAACAAAATTTTGTAAGCAGAATATACAGTTTACGGAAGACATTTATTTCAAAATGAATTAAAAATTATATGCATTAACGACAGTGCATGAAGTATAAAATGTCTGGCAAGTAGATTTTCTCGTTTCAAATTCTCAGAAAGTTAGTAATGTATACACCTAACGAATCTTTTGCAGCTGGAGCGTAGGTAAACAGCAAGCCGTGTCGTAGATTAAGTGTAAGCCGACAAATGTGCCTAACTACGGGATTTATGATATCTTTTGTCTACCCACTGTTATTAGCTTTTTCAATCCATATCGCTTTTCGGCGTTTCAAACTCGCAAAGGGAGACGCTTAGTATAAAAGGAACGTGCAGCAGCTAAAAAGTGTTTGCGTCAGAAGTGGTTTACGAAATTTCATTGCGAAGATTTTCACCCATGTAATGCTCTTCTCTTTGATTACGCGTCATCAAAAATGTCGATTAAATCAAAACGTTCATAGCTTCGATCATAAATCGAGATGTTTTCCGTTTGCATTCTGGACGACATTAGAGTTCTTTTAAGTACAGCTATCAAGACACAAATGATTTCATAGAAAAGTACTTGCGTTAGGGCAATTCAGGCCATCCAGCGTTTAAAACGGCCCGCCTCCGAAGCGGAACATGACAACCAAACACCAAAAAGTTGCAGCAGGATTAAGAAAGTAAAGTCAAAATATATTCCTCAGGCGTATTTTGTGTTTTCTGCGGCATTGGCATTCTCCAATCAGCAGGTCGCAGGTATACTTAAGGTGACTTTTATAGATTGTAATTGCGTTCACCTTTGCAAAAAAATTGGGAAAAAGTTTTGGGAAAAAACCTGAAAATGTCAAACATTTGGAGGGCATAAGAATGCGTAAAAGGGAAATGCTTTGTGGTGGTTTCTCAGTACCTTTCCCTTTTTCATGTATCTCTCAGAGAAAACCACACTCTAATGCCCTAGAAAGTATTACTTTTGTTTTAGTGATTGTCAATCAGCGAAAGCTGAAACTGAAAATATATTCATAAAGAATTTCATTTATATTTTATTAGGAGCCGCAAGCCCGTCCACAGACTGTGTGTGTGCGCCCGTAATTAGTATTGAACATAAAATTTTTATTATTAACATGAATAAAAAAAAAATTGTATTGTAGCGCCTTGATTGCCAGCAAGCACACACCTTCTTACATAGTAATCAGTTTTGTACATATATATATATATATATATATATATTTATGCATATGTATACCGTTATTATTGCTAGAAACTTTATTAGAGTTTTTACACACATTACAAAATGAATACATTTTGAAAGCGCGCTTTACTAGAGAAAGTTCTAGTTTTTTTTTTATTTTTCACAAATAAAAACAACTCCACACTGAATATTTTGTGTGCCCATTCTCCATTTCCTCATTTTGTATCCATACCAGTATCTCTACTTGCGCTACAATAATGCCCGCATATGCACGTGCATCTGTATACAAATATGCATATATGTTTAAATGTGTGTATATATGTAGGTATATGCCGATTGAGTGCACTATCGTACAAACAATGTAATTTGCACCGGTTCGCAACGCAGAATTTTCAAATACCATTTGCTTTCAACCGTATTTGTTGTGTTTTCCTTTTCTTTCCTCGTGCAGGAGTATGCATCGAATTGTAAAGTTAGGATTTTCTTAGCAATTTTCTATTTACATCGGAATCTCCTCAAGAATTACGCGCAAGCTATTCGTTGAAAGCAGGCATAGCATTCATAGAAGGTATCCGTTCCATTTACTCTTTACAATAGTATTATCGTAACCTACATTTCTCCATTTCGCTCCCTCTCTCTAGCTTTCGAGGAAACATTTTAACATGTTCGCAATACTCTTAATCGACAACGGCATTGCAACAACATGAATGAGCTAAAATTTCATTTTAAACATACGCTTTATCTAATAGCAGAAAAAGACCAGTAATGTAATTATCTTAAGTACGATGTTAGATATAAAAAGAAGACAGATGCAAACCGATCAATTTTTCGCCAAATATAAGTGTACCTTCAACAGCTATGACATAGACTCAATTAGTGCTTACAAGTTTTAGTAAAATATATATGAAGGGCAAAGGGACAGACATCTTTCAGTAGATTGGTCAAACACTATAATGCAAAGGCTTGCGAAAGACATTTCAACTGTCTACAATGATGTCAACGGATATAGCAGACGTGTATTAGGTGCTTGCATGTAATTTGATCAGTGACATCTATTGGCGCAAATTTTAAGTAATACGACGGATCGACACACAACAGTTAAATTTGATCACTTTGACCTTTCTCTACATAAAATAGCAGTTTTCCTTTTAGTGTTCGGTGTATACAGACGCTAATCATGGAAAGCTCAAAATTGAGTTTCCGACGTTCAATACTTTGCTGCTTGATTTGAAGAAATCTGCTGTCGAAGCCCATCAAACATCCTTAGAAGCTTATGGCGATGCTGCTTCATCATATCGCGTTAGTTCCAACGGTTTAAAAATAATGATTTTGATGTTAATGAAAAGAAAGGTCTAGAAGACCAGAAAAGTTCGAGGATAATGACTTGCAAGAGTTATTGGACAAAAACCTAGCTCAAATCATCAAAGAGCTTTCGAACATCTTAGCCGTTTATGAATCAACTATTTCTAGGCGTTTATATGCGAGAGGATGGAAAATGGCTGCTTTATGAACTGACTGAAAACGCCATCTCGAACCGCCAAAAAGAAGTTTTCTTCGGTCGATGGGCCGAACAATTCAGAATGATTGCCAACTCCATTGGAAATTTTCTTTATGTCATTCGGTTCGTTATTTTAGAAGTTACATTTTTTCCGGTATAACCTTCAAAATGGCCAACGAACTCTCTTCAGCGCGTTCTATTGACTGCAAACAGTCATCAGGGAATGGTTTCTTTAAACCTGGGAAAGAAAATAGCGACTCGCGACTCAATTGAATACGCTGCTGGTGGAGAGGACAGTTTGATTTGTGTTGAAAATTAAACAAAAAAAAAAAAAATATATTTGAGTTGTCTTAAAACAAAGAAGAAGACTGAACGAGTCAATTCCAAATTCCTCTCTAAAATTGAACAAACTATGTTCCAATTGATATTTCATTTGATTTATAAAATCTCGAACACAATATTTAATTGCAACTTGAATTAAGACTGACGATGTGGTCTTCTTGGATGTGGTTCACCGTCGACTTTACTCGCTGCTGTTTCTACAATGCCTTCTTGTTTTTAATATTTCAGTGTCCTGTTGTTTCTTGATCATAGCATTGTCTTAACATTTCCAATGCACTCGAAAAAGTATTTCTACCATTATCGTAAGAAAATTCCTTATTCAACAAGTTTATCCGTTTTGGAAATTTGTCGACAAGAAGATTGTAGCGATTACAAAAGAATTAAATAATTTACAAGCTCTTGAACTGGATAACTCAAAGCTCCCTTGATATTTTAATGCAAACGGTTCCTAAGAAGAAGAACAACTGCTTACGGTAATATTCGAAGCGTACGTTTATTTACAATAAAAATTCCCCGCAATTTTTGAACATACTATGCACTTTTGTTGTTAAAGATAGGAAGTCTTCCTATGGCAACATATATGTTGCCAGTTTCCTTACAAATCTTGAATCCTTTACTTATAATATGAGCTCATCAGTCCTTTTGGCTTGGCCAATAAATGGATGAATGTTCCGCAATAGCATTACTAAGCTCTTTTCTTCTCAACCTAAAGCTTTCTTCAGCGAACTTAGCCCTATTCTTGGTTGCTCTCTTTTCGATAGTCTGGCATAACTCATTGCTAATGTTTAACTAAAAATTTATTTAGCACGGAAGGACTGGAGGTCATTGCATTTTCCCGTAAGGTGTATGAGGAAGTATAACTCGATATGTATAATATTCAGTCATTGTAAAGTTACAATCAGGGTTTCTAGCATTTTCGGAACAACTAGTTTGTGAACGAAGTCTTTTGTTTGGTTTAAAAGCTGTTATAATATTGTTAATGCTGTTATGGAACCGTAACCAAGTAATTAAAACCGTTTGTATATTTAAGTAAAGTTTGAAAGTGTGTAAAGTCTCTACTTACTCGCTTTTAGTTTTTTTATTACTAATTAGAATTTTCTACGAAATCTTTTTATAACTTTCGTTTCGCTTTATTATTAATTAGCAATTTGCTCCCAAGCATCTTTATCTCTCCGTCTTTATCTCTATGTCTTATCTCTGCAAAATGAAAACCAAATCTCTGACCTTTTGCCGAATGCGATAATGATTGCTTTGCTATGTTTACGATTGAAAATTGTTAGGTTTACAAAAGACTTATTCGCAAATTTCGTTCTTATAATTCGTGTAACTTTTTTTCGATTTTTCTTTTTTGCTTTTCATTATAATAAACATTGGAAAACTAATTTAACTTGGATTTCCTTTCACATTTTATGCACAAAACATGGACCGCTTCAACTGCATAATAACATTCGTATGAAACGAAATTTATTAGAGCGTGTTTCGTAACGTCGCAATGCTGTATGACCGGGTAACGAGACTACAATAAAATAAATAAATAAAGATCGAAAACAAACGAAAATCAAAAAAAGGCAAATCAATAAAAGTGGGCAATAAAAATAGACGAAGTTCGCTTACGCTAATGTCGAATTTTGAAATTTAGTTATTCTCTCCTTTCTTTTGGGAAAGCGCTTTTACGCAAACGTTTAATAAAACGAACGATTAGCCAAAGGTGATAATAAAATTGATTCTAAAATTTTTGCCCATAGTCTGCTCACTCATGATTTTGGCAAAATATATTTCAAAATAACAGACAAAGAAAAAAATAAAAATGTTTACGTAAGATTTTATGTAAATTGTGTATCGACCAGAGGATAGCCAGCACAACTAGATTTGTTTGTCCGCAGTTTCGGTAAGCTTTTAATTGCAACGATTTCCACGCTTACTTGAATCTGTTAGAAATATTATTAGAAATGCTTTTAATACTTTCCGCTGCTACTTAAAACGAAAGATTACGCAATCCAGCGTATGTGGTTTTGTCTTATCATATCGTGAAAAGTGAATTCTATTATAAACGATCCATTACTAGAAAAACAGGCTAAAGCGTTACAGTCGGCGAAAGTCGATCCTTCAATACCACTACATACACTATTTGACTTAGTAGAACTCTTTGCCTATCTTCGTCATAAAGTACCGATAATCACCGCTTTCGACTACGCATATCCTTTTTTTTTAGGAAGACGAACTCGACACTAGAACTAACTTGTTCCAAATTTAATTGAATCATTCCTCTCCTTCAAAAAATTTATTATTCTTCATATATTCTTTTTATAAATTACCAGGAATGAATCTTTCTTATAAATGCTTACATTTCGCGGGAAGCTTTACATGAGAGAAGGGCCCAGAATTAGACCAATGTAGTAACGATATAGCTCAGGACCACTTTTTATCTCTAAATATTTAAAATTAGGTCTTATAAAAAAATATAAAAGTTCATTTTGTTTGTAAGAACCTTTACAATGGGAGAGGGTTCAAAAAAATGCTTCCATTTTATCCAAACATTCCGCATTCATTTAGTGTTCCGAGAAACACTAAGAAAAAGAATGTGTAAGCAAAAATCATCCACTGTGAGCAATTTTTAATCGCCCTCGGGCCAAAAGAAGTTTCCATACAAAATTTCGGCCGCTAAAATCCGCAGCCTATGAATAAAACAAAATATACTCCAACAGATAGCAGGCAGTCATATACCAGATGCCAGTTTGCCTAACTCATTGTACCATGTACCACAAGCGATGTAATGGTGTAAGAGAAAATGCCATGTTTTTAAGCAAACTGCCTTACCTTTGTAATGATCTTAATATTAATTTTCGGTTATATTCAATGTTTTCTTTGTTCCAGGTGACGGCACAGGATCCACCTACAACGCTGCAGGAATTTGCCCCACATGTCTCCGCAACTTGTAAAGCAGGCACGATGAATATTAAAGTGAAATTTGATGGCGCCTATACCGGGGCGGTACACGCTCGGGATTATCGTACCTCATCTTGTATGGCCATGGGCGACGGTTCAGATGCAATTGCTTTCAGTCTCAACTTGTTAGCAAAACAAGGTTCGACAGATTATTGCGGCGTCTTAGTTAGTAATGTGAGTGGAAATAACGTACGTAAACATTTTCATTACTAAACCGCATTAATTTGATATCAACACTTACGTATAATATGCATAACAAGCAAGTGCATACAAATAGATCCAACGTATATGCGATATATATATACACATATACAGTTTGTTCATTTATTAATTAGGTTGCTAGCTATTACGAATAAATTATGTATAAATCGACGAGAAAATTCGAAAGAATCTTTTACATCCTTGATGACAGACATTAAGGTTTACTCTTAAGGCTCTTAGCTAGAAATATATGGATACAAATTTTTGACGTGTCCTGTATCATAACAGATGGGCTTAGTTTGTTAACTATCTCTGACCAAAATTACTCTTCAAAGAATCCACGAACTTTTATTAACTTATCTTAAAATCTAATTTAACTTTAGCCTCTAACTGTAGCCGAAACTAAACGAATTCAGGATTAGGTATCGCACGATAAGTATATTAATATAACGCGTTTTACCTAAGACCTACCATATATGATGGTCGGTCCCTACGCATAGTATTTAAAAAGGCTTCTTTCAATGAAATGCTTTTCTAAACCATATACGATTTCACTATAAAACGATGAATATGAATACATCCCTGCGAATTCACCCTGGATATTATAATAATCAATATTATAATAGGTATAAAAATTACAATAGTAATAAACATATAAACCTTGTCTTATGCTTAGTGGGCGTTGAAGGGTGGACTTATTTATACAAATTTTGTTTTTTTTCATAATGTATGTAAGGTCTAAAAGAAAACTTCAGCACGAAATTCTGAATTGATTAAGCCATGTCTGTCCGTCTGTGTGTGTGTTGGCATTCTCCTAGTCTCAAAAATGAAGAAATCAAGTTAAAATTTGATACAAACATTGAAAGTTTTTGCCCGCAGGTTGGTATTAAAAATGGGCCAAATTGGCGACAGCAAAAGGCCACAGTGGAGCATAAACTGAACGCAACTCTGTTTTGTTTTAACAAAAATTTGTGGCATTTTATTCGTTAGTCAGAAAGTATAAAAGTTAGAAAGCTGAAATTTTCCACATTCACTTTACGAAACACTCTACTCTTTATGTGCAATAGCGGAAAAATCGGCCATGCCCACAGAAAGTCACAAGTGATTAAATTTTACTTTTTTCACTTTATTGAGAGCAATTTTCAAAACTATTTTGTGACATTCTTTATAAGAAGATATATTATCTGCGTAAAAATGGATTAAATCTAAAATGAACAGGGTAGGGCACGGCGATTAATTTGTTCTTATATTCTGATATGGGTATCAAATATAAGAAATTGAAGAGTAGAATGTGAAAAACATAAAATGGTGGGTATGGGATATTTGGCCCCCGCCGAGTATAAGTTGCTTACTCCTTTTTATTTATGTAATAATGAAATTTACCAAAAACGGTATCTATTTGCATTTGGAATATCTCCTCTTTTTAATTGAAAGCATCAAAAGTAATTTGATCTGGCTTTGAATTGGGAATTTACAACGTCAGTAGCCTTTATATCCGTTTGTTGCATTAAGGAGTGGCATATTTGGGCGAAAATTCTGAACCATATTTCAGCCGAAATGTAGTCGCAACTCAGCTGCTGATAACTTCTTTACTTTCCCTATTTCCCTCGCAAGAAAAATGGTTTGCCAAAGAAACAACTCTCGTGGGAACTTTACGTGGGAATATCACGCAGAAACGTTTCAATGTGCAAAAAGTGATAGCATCAAAAAGAACTTAACGAACGTAAATTTGCAACATATTTATTTAATCATTAATTGTGCACGAACTACTCATGCCATCGGTATGCCATCTTTGTATCGAACATGCAGGCGGTTTTGGCGAACATTTGAGCATCAGTTCAAATCAAAAATATATTGATGGGATGGAAACTTATACACAAAAATATGAAGCACAATATGAACAGGAAATGTTTGTGGCAACTTTCAGTTTCTTACATATATGTTTGCGACTATGACGATCCACAAAATATAGTCGTCAAATTGACAGGTTTTAATAAAAACGTATACCATATCTGGCGTATTCCAGAAATACAATTGACCTATATATCTACTGCACTAACTTATTACAAAGCAAAATATAATATCTAAGGATATCTACAGCCTTCTGCAGAATTTTTGAACTTAAAGTCACAAACCCATAAGTGTAGTCTTGTTGTTCTTGATGAAAGCTACACACAACTCCTTTCTACACATCAACTGGAATGCAATATTTCGAAAAAACACATTAGGTAAACTAATGAAGTCATATATTCCAATAAAAGCACACACAATATGATCACTGAGTAAGAAAGTTTAATTCATTTAACTCTTGCTTGTTTCATATATTTCGTGGTTAAGTAATCTCATTAGTGCTACTGACATTCTTGGGAATAATAGAAATTTCTCTAATTTTTACGTATCTGCGAGCGACGGAAAAAATCCAAAATTCCCTTCTGAACGAATATAATTTTGTCTCCTTTTGTACACAACTGGCGATGCTTGAACGTATATTAAATATCGAAAATTCAAAAAAGCAAAGAACAAAGTGAGACCCGATCCAGCTTTCTCTGTTCGTCCGTTTAGTTTTTGGATTCCTCTATCTCAAACATATTAAAAAGGAAAGCTTGGAAAAGGGGCATATATTCTTCATACAAATCCCCGAATTAAACTTCAACACGAACTTTCAAATACTACTTGGTCTTTCCCTTTCGAACGATTATAGGTGTCTGTACCTATAGTAGACATTTTTCACTGTTCTGGCTATTATGAAAGAAAAAAGAGCAAAGCCTTAAAAAAAGCAAAAAACCTCATCATAAACATTCTCCTTACCGATCTTATGAGCCTGTATCCGATTTTAGTCACAAAATGTACCGCAAAGATTTGCTTAAAGTAGTCCGAGAGGGTTAGTAGACTAACATTAAGCTGCGAACTAACAAAGCAGAGAAGGTGTTTGAGACTCGCCTTCGAATGCATATAATTTTGTTCATTTTTTTAGCGCTAGTTTGTGTGCACGTGCTTAGTTTTATATTTATTTTGCAGTTTAAAACGTTCTTAATTCGCAAGGTCGGTGATTGCTTAAGCAAGCAATTAAACAAAAATTCTCTTACGAGTCGTGAGATAATGAATTTACTTATTTAAAAAAAAAAAAATAAAAAAAAAAAAAAAAAAGAAAAAAAAGTAAAAATGGTTCATTTACTTACCTTAAAAAAATGTCTGCGTGCAATGTGCAAAGTTTTTATCGTAGCCTTTGGCTGTCATTTAATATGCTGATGATGCTTCATGTCCGGGTATTTGATGGATCGACTCTTGCAGGCATATACGTAAAGCATTCTTGCAAAGTACGACTTCAAAGATATCTGAAAGTAAATCAAAGTATTATCATCCTCTGGTATGCATACACATACATACTGCCATATATACATAGGTTACAAAAATACATATACAAAAAATGCAGCTTATAGGATATCCAACGTAATTTATTTTGTCTAACGTCCTCGCATATTCGCACCACAGCTTGGAACGTGTTATAGGTGTTGATGATGTTATTTATTAAGAACAGAAAAGCGTTCATAAAAGCTTATGGCGTTGTTAGGTTATTTGGTATTTTTCGCGAGCAACGTAATAGGCGTATATAGAAAATTTGTCATTTTCCCCTCACAGTACCGTCAAGCACAAAGCGTTGCGTACATGTCAATCAGAGAGAAAGAGCGATGGAGAGAGAAAACGGAGAAATCTAAAATAAAATAGCTGCCGCCAACATATGCGCATACAGACACTTTCGGTAATTACTACTAGAAAATTAGGTGCGCATTGCCTTTATGATTCGCTTTGTAACATAAAACAAAGTAATAAAGTAATAATAAAAAAAAAAATAAAAAAACAAGCAGAGATTTATTTTTACACTATCCATAGAGGGAGACTAGAGGAGTAAGCTTGAATGGATTTGAATTTGTTCATAGACACGCATTTCCCCATAAAGCCGACTTTACTTTTGTGTTTGCTTTAAGGCGAATATAACTTTTCTTATATTATTATTACTTTAAATTATTACTATTAACATAACGTGATTTTGCGATAGCTACGCAGCACCCGCATTCCCGTTAAAATTGTGAAGAAACGAGTTCCTCAGAAAAAATACAATTTCTTCGATAATTACTAGCAACTAAAGTCGGCATTCAATAGGAGAACAGTACCCAGAACAGCACAGCACTGATTAAAAAAAGAATTTGAGAATTTTTAACTTTAATATCAATATGTTGTTGGTAAAATGCTTCTCTTAGCCAAAAGTTTTTAATTTGTGTTAAACTTTTCCAATTTTTGAAATTTATGAAATTTAAAATTTTTCCAATTTTTGAAAAAAAAATCTGAAAACTAAAAATTCGCGAACGTCAATGATATTTTACCCTGGCTGAGCAATCATTCACCGCAGACTGTTGACTGAAACACTGCATAAGAATACTCACTAAAATGACTAACCACTTCCTCTCTCGCATCTATAAATGAATTTTACGCGAAATTAGGGGCGGGGACGAAGGCACCGACTTTGCAAATTTTTGACGTGTGAAAAACAGAAATGATGTCAGAGATATTTCTTCCGAGCAATCTTTCAAGACTAAATGAATTTTGCGAATCAATGTCCGTCCTGGCCATTTGTAATATCTTCAATTTCTGACAGATTGGTCAGAAGTGGTGATAAATTTAGGCTGCTTTTCTCGAATATGTACTTAACTATCGCTAAGAAACGTTCAGCTCCGTAAACCCAATACTTTTCATTCAACCCAAAAAACAACTAACCAGTAAGAGCTAAAGACGTAGCTTTGTTGGATATCAACATGCGTTACGCAACAGTATTATGAAACTCCTATTCACACTTCATCCAAGATTACTTCGTTCAACTTTGATCGTTCATTTTAAAAGTAGCTCCATCCACACAGAGATTCAGTAAACAAAGTAACTCCGTTGAAATCCTCATAGCTCTTTCTTAATTAATATTCTTAATAAACTCAAAAAATGATGCGAGCCTTCGATGTTAAGTTGCTTTAATCAATTTTTGGATCTAACTATAGATATTATGATATATACACACAAACATATATATATAAATATATGTAAAATGTAGCTAAATTTTAGTTTTCTTCAATATGCCTTCGGTTTCTTCAAATTTCACATATTTTTATTTAATTGACTTGATTCGAATTCGTAAACAAAGTTTGGCGAAAAACATAAACAACTTCATGTTAGGCTTGGTTTCGTTAGTTATTTATGGTTTACTAGTATTATATGCCATTTTGCCAAGCATATGATGTAGAGAGTTGCTACAGTTTGTACACATTTCATACGTGAAATAACAAAGATTAAAACACTAACACAAGCGCAAATGCATGCAAACCCATATACAAACAGATAACAGCTTAAAGAGTTGAGCTAATGACCTTGTGAATAAATCACATAGCGACGCTTAACACAAAAAAAAAAAAAAGAAAAAACAACTACGAGTTCGTTTTCTAAGTCTTTTGAATTATCTTCAAATATATATATATACGAACAATAAATACATTTTGATATTTATGTAGTCACCTTAAAAAGATTTTAAAAAAGCAAAATCCTAATATAACGCCAAACGAATAATAACTAAGAGAACCCCATACACTTTCTAAGACAAATTTTCGATACGATTCAGGAATAAAAAATCATTTAATTTTAAATTTAACCATTATAAGCAAATAATATAACCGCTCAGAAATTTTTAATATCGATTTTTATAAGGCCTTAGTGAATAGTAAGGAAAGACTTTAAATTGTTATCTGCTCTAGTTGTCTTTTTAAGCAAATCCTGCTCCTTATTTTCCTGCGATCAGTATACTTCCTTCCTTTCCTATTTTTATAATTGGTGTCCCGAATAGTAATGCTTTCCCAAACTTCGACTTTCTACAGCGAGTTCGTTTCTTCTGAATTTCTAAAATATAGAAACTGACGGACGGATAGACCAGACTAAATTAATTCATAATCGAATTGTAAATTTGCCAATCGGTAATAAAGTTCTATAATTGGTGACCCTCCCGAGCATTGGGTTGATGTGAGATAACCTTGCTGGTCCCTTCTTATCATCCTGAGGGACTTCGTAGCGATAGTTTCGGCTCGTTATTTGAAGTCACGAGTTCAGTGCGCCACCACAGAAGAAACTGTGTCAGGCGTTGTTGTGTTGTGGATTATTTAAAAATATAAAAAATACAAGGAAAATTACCTAAATTGGTAATAAATATATTTTGATTCCTATGTGCATTAGCCTATGCATAAATGCTTAAGAAATTTGCGTGAGATGTAGTTTACGCAAATACATGTCTCTCGACGGCTATATGTTAATTAAAAGCCGCCACACCTAGTCAAAGTCAAATTTCAAACTGTGTGACTTATAATTGCGTGTACTTGAAACAAATTTCGCTAACAATAAATATTGAGGAACACTAAGTAACGACATTTTTTTAGCCGCTGACTAATAAAGAATTTATTTCAGAGGAAATTTACTTAAAACGCTTTCTAGCAAAACACTTAACTAAATATGAGAATTGTTTTCTAATGTCGTTAAAAACGCGCTATAAAAATATGTAAATAAACAATTTCATCACTTTTCTTTTCTTTTGGTTCTGTCGAGTTAATCGAGCCATCACGTCAGGCATTCTCAATTAGTAGAGAGATGTGTAATTTATGCCGACATTATTCATTAATTCTTTATTTTCAAGAGGGCAAAATTCGGGCACTTACGATGGGCTTCGCTTTTTTATATTTGTCAAAAAATTCACAACATGTAAAATATATAGAAGCTCTACAAAGGGATAACAAAGCTCCGTACAAAGTTGTGCATCGAGAGCAGTTTGCGAGATATTTGCTACCAGTGCAAGTCAAATTGCGGCTTTAATTAATTGCGCAGAACATTTGTAATAACCATAGGGGTCACGCATAACCTCAAAATGAATTAATTAGCGTTCACAACTCTTTTGATGCGGTCTTACATTAAAATTTATCATATTTTCGCTACAGATTTCGGGTTCGTTTTCGAAATTCACTTCGCATGTACTCGCACTTTCGCGGGCAGTAAAAATTTCAATCCCATTCGAAAATTACCAGTCAATATATTTTAAAATAAGTTGTGGTATCCGAAATCTCATTAAAATTCCATTGCGTCCAGGGTGACGCGGATCCCATTTTCCAAATAATTATTATTAATATTATATATAAAATTAAATAAAAATAATTGACTTGACTAAATCCATTTTCACGCATATGATAAATCCATTTCGCAATTAAATCGTATTTCATCCCTTTAAAGAGTAGTCAATGTTGGAAGACGTTTTGAGAGACATTTTGACTTTGAAACTAAGCGTTCTACCTATTATTAGGAGACCGGGTGTGATCCCCGCACCTTTTTCACCAATCAACATATTCAACTACTACGGACTCTTAATTTATTTCCACAAGTGTTAAATGCGGATGTTTTCGTCTGGCTACTAAGACAAACAAAATTTACGATTTCTTCAAGGCAGAGTGGTTAGGAAGGTTAACAGTTTTTCGCTGCAGGCTAAAGTATTCCCTAAGCATTCCCTAAGATTTTTACGACGACATTATTCATCAATCGCCAATCAATTGCCATTGGTTCGAGACTTTGCCTCAGGCTAACGCATAAGTAGTAAAGAATTCGAATCGAATCGGTTTTGCATTTAAAGTTTATACATAAAAAATAGATTTATAAATACTTAAGCTTTGAAATCCACTTAAGCTCAGCTACGAATTTATGCATAAATCTAAGAGATAATCGGAAACGCGTAGCCTTGCAGATTAGAATTCATAGATTCGTTTCGTTCTTCCAACGCATGCTCATCCATTAGCAACCTGTCATCTCCACGAATTTAAGCTACAAAGTATGTAAATATGTGTGACATGTATGCAAATATGTACATCGCAAAATCGTAATGTATGCCTCTGTGGAATTTTCTTAGTGTTATTTCTTCGCTTGACATTTTTATTTTTAACTTTATTTCCTAAAGTATGCTATTACTAGCATACGTGATCAGGATGGATGACAGCAAGCATTTCATGCATTTTTTTTTTTTTTTTTGATCATATAGGAAATGAAACGTTATCTCCGCTCATCCAAAAAAAATGAAACTACATAAGTATCTGGTACATATCTACATAAGCGTACAGTGTAAAAGTTTTCACTTTTTCCAAACATAACGGCATACCGTTCATTGACTTGAATGCTTGCTTTATTTTAGGTTTGGCTTGCATAAATATATGTATGTAGGAGTGTGGAAGCGATCGCGTGTTACCAAACGAACAAGATATCAAACACTTGAAATGTAGCTCGCAAGGGACGTGTATAAGTAAAAATTTAAAGTTTAGAAAAGTTGACAACCAGAGAAAAACCTTGCCAGAGCTACCGCCTAAGCTAGTAATTAACATACAAGCTCTTCGTCGATAACTGCATCATTTTTAAAATTAAAAAATATTCATTTACTTATGTTTATCAGTTTGGGGAAAAAGTATTGCGAGATTTCTTCTATCACTCTTTCTATATATTCAAAATTGATTTGATTGAATTGATTACGTAACGGTAATTATCATCCATGGCCTTTTCCCGTTTTTCGAGAAGCTTCCATTCACGATTTATGCATCAAGAACTTGACCAACAGAGTTTCAGATAACTCTGTTGAAACTAGCTTTAGACTATCAAGAGTGTTCTCCAGATATCGAACCAAGCCAGAGTGCGCAAAATATCGACTGCACGTCCGCTGGATGTATCAAAGCTTCGCAGACAAGTTCTTGGTGGTGTTTTGCGTGGCGTTACAATCGCTTATTACAATCTGGGTAAATGCTATACAATAGTAGATCGTTTGACCCGATTCTGGAATCTCATGATGCGCTTTTTTTCGAATCCCAGCAAATACACCACACAGGGCGTGAAATCCAGCTTTGGTAACGAATTTTCCGCGTATTATTGCCGTATGTGTGATCCATGGCTCAATGGCGAAGATCCGCTGGCAGAACCTCGCCTACAACTTAATGAGTGTTGCTCGACATATGACGTTAAACACCGTTTTAATAACAAAAGTCTCTCAATGCTTTTCCTCCAAACATTACAAAGCATCCTTTTTCATTTTGCTTTTGTGAATTTATTATTATTTTTTTGCTTTTTTGTTATTTTTGTTCTATTTGAAACAGCGCTCCGAGGAACGATCCATTCAGTTAGCCGTACGAGTGCACAAAACGCTGGAATTGGCTGATGATAAATTTTATGTAATCACCTGCGGGAAATCTGGTTTTGGTCGGTAAGAGTAATCAACATTTTTTTTCTTTTTCCAACAAAATTTCCCTTCACTACAAGCCAAAATCTTTTGGCTTTGGGTTAACTTTCAAAAAAACTAAATCGATAGTGAAACAAAATTCCTTAATAGTAATAATGTTTTTCAAAAGTTGTACATGAGAATTTGTATGAATTATCTCTCTTCACACTACCTGCGCAAAATTGCTGAATGAATCAATAATACGATTTGATGATGATTATTCTTACATACAAACATACACATCATTATTAGTCTTGCTAGTAATTAAAAATGAAATTATTAAATAATCATATAAAAAATGTAATAACAGCAAAAATGCTTTTAGTTGGGAACTTTACGCTCTGTTAAATCGTAATATGAAAAAAAAAAACAAGTAAGAAAATTATATTCGGTCGTGACCGAATATTTTATATCCATCATCATGATCCTAAAAAAAAAAAAAAAAACGACCAGAGCTAAGTTTTTTGTTTCTATAATATTCGGTGGGCATGGCTAAGAACTAAAAGTGGACGTTTATGTTGTGTATGTGTTGTTTTTCCTGAGTAACAATCAAAAACCACAAAAAGCAAAGGTGTTCACAATCTTTCTTATATAGGACGTGTTGTAGGCGTGTTCTTCGAAAAGGTTGGGTTCTTCTCAAATACTCGTGCAAGTTTTTAGGCGATATTCTTCTTTTTACGAACGGGAGATACCACGCATTTGCGCAGACGGACAGATGAAAGGACGGACATGCCTTGGTGCATTCCAAGTTGATGACTAGCCAAGAGTATATATAACTTACAGGGTTTTTAAAGCTTTTTTCCGCGCGTTACGGTCAGATAGTGCAAAAAAAAAAAATGAAGCTGTAACACACTATTAAATTGAGTAGGCATGGCCGATTAGAGTAGAGCATCGTCGATAGGATATTTGTCCAAACGTTTGCAGATTGATCTGTTTAGTTAGTAGATCTAGTTTATGAGTAATGGGAAAAAAAGCGATTGAAAAACCAAGATGCTCTCAGTTTACGTGGTGCTGTGGGCGTGTCCTTCGAACGATTTGGCCTAGTTTGAACAGCAACCTGCATGCATGAACTTCCAATATATCTGCCAACTTAGAAGTCAATAAATTCACTTTTATGACCAGGGGAATGTTAACAACAGACGGACACGAGGTCAAACGGACAAACTGTTGCAAACGAAAAGCCAAATTTAGTGCACCGTAATTTTTCGCAGTGATTGGCATAAATATAAGCTTGCTTCGATGATACAATTATATATGAATATGTTCAAAGGTATGTGCGTACATATTTGGCATGTTAATTAAATAAAGTGCTTCTTTTTTTTTTTAATAAGTAGTCGTATAGGCGATACTCTCTGTGTGTGCAATTATAGTGATAGTTAGAAAGGTGCATAGATAGAGCAGGGAGCAGGAAGAAAGTATGTAATATATAATTAATTACGTTGTAAGCGTGGTATTTAATTATCTCTTCACATTACACTCAGTGAGGGATTTCATGAGAGCTAACAACTAACGAACTAAACGGATAGCCGCGTAAACATACTAATCCCGCTTGTAGTCTAAATGTGAATAAAAATTTATCAGCAACGAAGATGCGTAACATATCGGTCAATAAATACCGGGATTGATACATAGATTCCGTCTTTTGGTAAAAAAACTTACAATATTTAATAAGGAAGCCGAACCTCAAACAACCCTAGTTGAATTCTAATGTCGTTTCGATCATATGTGTTGCGTAAGACGGGTCTTAGTAAGAACCGAAAAATTCAAATTTCTTGTGCGGATTAAGCATTGCATTCCGATAGAAAAAAAAGCTATTTGAAACTCTGAATTGGCTTTTTCTTCTTGATTAAAAACCACGTCGTAAGAACACGGAATATACGGACCCAAATGGACCCAAAATAAGATGATTACTTCACAATATTCTACAAGTATTCCAAAAATTACGTGATATCTTAAAGTTATCAAATCATATAGTAACCGATATCTTAAAGTTATCAGAAGGCAGCGGCACACATTGTTTTGGCACCATAAGAAAGCTGCTCTTCAATTAAGTATTGCATTTACTCGAAATGAAACAAGCTCATCAACACATTAGTGTTTCGAAGCACCATTCGTGGCTATTTAAAGGCAATGAAAAAAAAGGATTTTGTGACGATGGATAAAACATGCGCCCACCGCCACTTTCTGGAATCGATCCGGCAATCCGCTGAATAGAAGCGCCAAGATTACGGTCCCCAAATCGTGGGATGCGCATGATATTCTATTTATCGACAACTTTGAAGAACAAAACGCCGCGAATTGCGGGCGTTTCAGATTCGAAGACGAGGAAATTGTCAAAAAAATTACCGTAAATGACGAAGAGAAACCATTGTATGGAGACAACGCACCGTGTCATAACTCGATGTCCATAATAGCAAAATTACATGAATTGACGTGCCCCACCAACCGAATTATCCGAATATATCCTTTAGGGAATAGTATCTCTCGCCACAAAGGGCAAAAAATATTTTTTATAAAATGATGAAATCATTGCGAAAACTGAAGCGTACTTTGAATGTCTTGATATATCGTTCTAGAAAAATTATTGGAATGTTAACGCGACGTGAGGCTGACTAGATATCATTCTTGAAGGAAACTGTGTTTATCTAAAGAATATTTTGACTCAGAACGTATTGATCAGTGCAGTACTTCTGCTGCCATGAATGTCAGTGGATGCGTTCTTTGACAATAGCTCCTAAGATCACAGTGGCTATGTATACAGTAATTGATACAATAATGAATGGATGAAAATGAGAAATTCAACCATGTGGCACAATTTAAAAATCAGCATGACGACCGCAGCAAGACTGAACGTACAGTTGTTTTCATCTTGCTTATAAGTTAAGAATCATTACTCAGGGCATTTGACGAAAGAATTTTAAGGTCCGTTCAATGTTATTTCGCTTGAAATGGTTTACCTTTATCATACCCTTTGACTTATTTTTTTTTTTTTTATGTTTTAACTTCTATATGTAGCGGCGCAGTAAGGGTGATCTGCAATTGTTTTGTGAAAACTATTGCGCTTCTATCAGATGGCAATCTTTGGTCCCTTTCCCTTTCCTATAAAAAATTAATCTTTATTTGTAACAAAGTCTAGTCTTGTAACATTTTATATTGAGAGATGACTTATGATAGTAATGCGTTATAGAAATTAAGTGTTGCAAATTTCGACTGTCTTTGGGCCATATCCCATATATATGAACATCTATTTATAAACAAGAATTTTTGTTTTTTTTTTTTAACACAAAAATAAATTGGTCCAAGAGTGTGTAGGGTATTTTATGACAACTTTCTCCCGTCTATAACGTTTTTAATTGCCTCAAAGCAAATTGATAAAAATAATCACAAGGTGACATTATCACGTAAGATCATGTGCGCTGCTTTTAAGTTATTTGGGAATGGAATTTGACCTCTTATGGCACCTTACTCGCAATTTCCAATTATAAAATTGCCGAAAAGAGTGAACGGGGAGATTAAAGATGATTAAAGTTTAGAAAGTCATACGAATGACAAATTTATAATTTATGTACGTATCGTATATCATCTTAAGTGAAGTTCTAAGCCTTACCAACGAGATAATAAAACTGCTTTACTTCGTCCATCAGTAGTGAAGTAGTGAATATTACCAAGTCCAATATGTTTATGTCAATATGTTATATGTGCATGTACGCCCGTAAACATAAATTAAGGTTAACGCTGCCGTTGCATTGTATGCAATCGCACTCCTTCTCCTTCTATTGTATGTTAGTTTTTATGTATTGACATAAATATTCATGTCTGCTTCATTAATTGCATATTTATATATAAACATATATGTGCATAACTATTGCAGCAACAATTGTAATTGTTAATACATTTACACAAATTCGTTACCCTGATTCGAAACGAGTCCAACTAACAGTTGTTCAGTCTTATAACAGAAACATTAAAATTTATTTTGTTGGTTTGTTTTTTTTTTTTTTTTTTAGTTTTATTTAGAAGTTGGTCTACCTGCTGTAGTCAGCTAAGAGAGGCGGAGAGAAAGGGAAGTTGTGCTTGTTATATAAAATAGTTTAAAAAATATTGATCCTGATATATAATCAAGCTTGGTCTGTCCTAAATAGATTGACTTGTTATATAATAGGTTGGAGGCAAAGTTCTGTCGTATTTTAAATTTGTTATAACCTAACTTTTCTGCAAATTTTCGACTTGTTAAATGTGGATTATTTTCCAACATTGATCGGAAAACTTCGTTACCGATCTTGGATGGTCGTCCACATCGATCACTTTCTTGGAGGCTCAGATCCCCGGAACGAAATTGGCTAAACCAATTTTGACAGCTACAAACATTAACAACATGTTTTCCAACTATCGGACATAAATTTTTACATACAGCCGATGCGTTGCTTCCTTTTGAAATCCATACAAAATATAGTGTCGTAACTACACTTCATCTACTGACATGTTTTTCACTTTAAATATCACAAGTAAATAGTGAACGGTAAAGAAAAACTTCTTTTATCTTATATAGCAGCTAAAAAAACAAAAGCCAATTGTTTTTTTTATTTACTAGAGGAAATACTTGCCTATTGAAAATACGACAGAACTTTCCCTCCAACCTATTAGATATGAATCTTAACATCCTAAAGTTCGAATCATCTTTACACTAAAACATAATAACTGTTAGCAGACGATAGAAAGTAATTCAATTCTTTTATTTCATTGTCATATCAGATTAAGAAATAAGCTGTAAAAATTCCATCAAATTTGTGAAGAGTCTTTGCCAAAGTCGACCTCTCCATACATTTTATACAATATAATCCAACTTAACCTAGGTTAAGAATTGTGTGAATTAAATTTGGAGAGCAATAAATTTATAGTGAAGATAACGTGCGCGAGACAACAAATTGCACTACATGTTTCAGATATGCTCTATACGACGGCTTAAAAAATTTCCAATTGCAAAGCGGTATTCATTACATAAAGCATTCACCGCATTTAGAAGACATTGCCTAGGAGGATAAAATACTCTGATCGGCAAAGCGTAGGGAGTTCTTTGCCTGCATTGCTATATTTTTGCTTACTTTATAAGAGCGAACATTGTGTCTTCCGTTGCACCGTTTTTTCTAACTAAGGGCTGCCGCGAGCACATAAAATTAAATTCTATTTCAAATATTGCAGTATATCTTGACTCGTAATAGAAATGGTTTATAAAATTTTTTTACAAGCGAACGGGTGTCCAAGATTTACTCCAAGCATAGCAGCTTTCTAGACCCCATGAACGGGGACGCCCCTGGGCTATTGCAATACTCTAACCAAAGAATAATTTTTAAACAAGTTTTTCCTGAAACCTGATTATCAGGCACAGAATTGGATGCATTTTCAAATATGCCAAAGTATTTCAACTTGCAGCGAATGTCAATCTAAAAGATGGGAAATGTACTTATGTCTATTTAGGTAAACATCTGAGATTCCCCCCAAGACCTACGTAGCTTCTCTCTAAGCAGCAGCCACAAGCACCTACGTAGATGCAATGCTCTAATCAACGAACAGTGAGCTGTTATTTGTCTCTAGCTAGGTTTTTGCTTGCTTTCTTCTCGTCTCATCTATAAGTATGACATCGATAACCACTTTTACATCAGTACGAGCGAAAATGTTTACGAATTTTTGGTTAAAACTGTGCTACCGTACACGAACAGGATTAAACGTAGTTTTAAGTAGTTCAAAGGCTAACGGATATTGATCTGGAAGTTGAATATATTCTGCAACCGTATAAAAGCATATCTAGGTGAGCAGGTATCCAAATAAGTAAATATCCAAGAGGCTTATGTTATCCAAATCTTAGGTAAGCTACGCCAATGCTCTTGAAAACTAAGAAATCGGTTGTTTGCCTGCCTAAGTCTTTCACATATTTTGCCAGTATGAACCATATCATGGCATTACATGGTATTTTTTAGCGGTGGCTGCCACGAACAAATGATACTAGATATGTATTTTTAAATATTTAATCTAAGTGCCTTCTCCGTTAGATATGGACGTCAACCGTTCTCGCAAAGAATCTATGCATTCTTCGTTAAATTTATGAAAAAGAAAAAATATACCCTTTGACCACTTTAGTCAAATGCGACGAATTAGGAATTTAATGAAAGAGATGATATCTCGTGAAGTGAATACTGTTTTCTTTGGTTATTGTTTTTTTTTTTTTTAGGGCTGGGCGTTTTCAATTGATATGCACGGTATTAATATATAAAGTAAAACTAAGCATAACTTAATGCATACTTTTGTTTTCTATGTGCTTGACAGGGATGACAATGCTCATGTCATATTAAAATTCTTGGAGGATGAAAGACGTGTTCGAGAAACAGTACAGGGACGTGAGTACAGAATTCGTGCTGAGTTTACTAAACCAAACGGTATACATTTTATCGCTGGAAGAGAGCTATTAAATAACATTTATATTATTTTCTTCTTTAACAGGAACGCATGGTATACGTGTTGGCAATTGTTTTGCTTTTGATAGGAAAAATTTGAGTATACCTCTCATCGATGAAAGAGGGTAAGAAAGAAAAGCTTTTGTAAATAATTGTTGATTCAAAAGCTTATTATTTTGTTATTGCTTGTCCCAAAAGATGTCCGACCGATCCTAACATAATTACACGTTTTATTCCCGCTTCCGAGGGGAACTATGCTGAAGCATTATTATTTTCTATGTTTCGATTCCCTGACGGTAAGTAATCTTCAAGATATATTTTGTTGTTAAATTAGTTTCTAAAAAAGCTGTATTTCCTCCAGAGTCCGAAGTGCATTTGCAATGTGATGTAATACAGTGTAATGGTCGTTGTATAGACGACGAAGATTGCAGTCAAATTGCTTTAGCTGGTGCGGGTGGTTTTACCAAAGGCTCCGGCGGACGGAAAGTCGGTCCAAATGAAGAAGGTTCTAGCATTGCGGGGACTACGGTATTCGTAGTTGATCCGGAAAAAGCTCCACGTAAGTAAACAAAAAAAATAAATAATAATAATAAAAATTATAAATAATCTAAAAAAAAAAAAAAAAAAACAAATTGAATGCATTCGTCTTCAGTAATTTCTGGCAACTGTGAGGATGGTGTACGACCGGCTTGGCTATTATGGTTAACTATTACCTTGGGTGTATTGTTCCTTATAATGTTATTAATGAACATATTCTTATGCACGGCTATGAGCTGTAGTTGCGCCAATACTGAGGTATGAACTAAACGTGAACACATACACGTTCAAAGCATTTATTTATTTAAAAAAATTGTTGTGCAGATTATTGAAAAGGACCCTTCGGTTGTGGAGGAATATGACCCTTACAGAAGTTGGCACGGCAGTCAATATGGTTCCCGTTATTCTCTGCATGGTCGCGATGCCCATAAAGGATATACCAGCGGTGGCTCGACTATACACTCAAATAGGTCTGACAGATATTAAGATAACTTAGTTATTATATAAAAATTACATATACAAACACACACACACACACACACATACACACGCATACACGCATACGCGCATACACGTATACACGCCGAAACACGCATCTATATACATATATATATATATATATATATGTATGAGAACTTTTGGTTTTGTCTTTTCTGTAATGTTCACCTCTTTGTTTTATATCTAAACGTAAAAATTGTTAGACCGCATGTTTTTTTTTTTTTTAAACCTATTGCCCAACACGTATTTCTATGTTTACCGTTACGGAGCATATTAATTTCATTATTTAAGTTGTAATGCATCGGAGGTCTCGCAAAGTAATTCTGCTTGATATCCCGGCGACGTTCATACGCCTGACTGTACGAATGTGATGACTAAACCTTTAAATTTTTTTTATACACTTTTATGTTTTCCCATCAGGTTAATACTAACTGCATTCCCTTAGTTAGTAATAATGTGAATCCGTCCAACAATTCAATTGCATATGTTGTACTTTAAGTACTTAATCTTGCCTTTTTTGATTGCAAATTACTCCAGCTGTAGGGGAGGATTCAACGGCCATTAGCTGGGGAGCGTGATTGGTGGCCAGTTGGATTACATTTATTTTTAATGCTTTTTCACTGCAATTTTGCAAATTGTTGCACGTAACGCAAAGTTTACTCAAGGTCGTTTATTTTTTTTACTAATTTTACCTGATGAAAAAAAGGCTGAATACTTTTTTTAAAAGCATGATATGTATAAAATTTAATATGTCTCTGGCGATAAATGGTTAATAAGAGAGAAGCCGAAATTACTTCGCTGCCAAGCCAATATATCAGTTGCTTGCCAATATATAAATATTACTTAATTACTAAAGAGTGAATTTCGTGTTTAATCAATTATTAGAATATTGGACTTAAAAATTATATATGTAACTCACTAAATACCGCGTATGTATGTTTACTAAGTAGGTACATGGTATAAAAATCTTGCTAGTATTGTACGAGATTTTTCTTCAAGGCTGTTGACAAAAGTCAAACTGTAACGTAACATGTAAAGTTCTACATGTTTCTCTGATTAAGTGGTCTAGCTATTCTCACACGGATCAAGAGCTCTCATAGTGTGCCATTGTAGCCCAACCAACAGTTAAATTGTTTTATAATGTCATGATCATTGATAGGAGAAATAACCTTAAGCCTACCAGCCTAAATGGTCTAGATCGCGGTTTAAATATTTAACCATTGTTTAGCTCGCAGTAAATCGTCGTCTCCTTTATCGTCAACGTATTATCAAAAGCATCGTATACCTTACCCCTATTAAGAGAGACACCACCAGAAACCATTTCAAGGTGCTACGTTCATTAACTGCGAATGCGTTTCTCTTGAGCTGAGATTAAATAATTCAACCATTCTTAAGCTCTATGCCGAATTATACCAAACATATCATGTGCAATCTGTGTAAATAGTTTAAAGCCCAAGCCTAAATCCCAAATTAAGCCCAAGTCCCAAATTAAATAGTGTTCAACCAATAGTCTGTCAAAGTTAACACATAATGATAGTACGCATAGCCTACACAATGCGGAATGCGTTCAATTGAATGGTCAAACTATTTGATAAATCTAATTAGGATATCGCAACGATCAGATAATTTACATATCTCCTTTCGATCTTAGATAATATAGTAGAACTATTAACATTATCGATTTTGAAACGTTGTCGTGATCAATTGCTATGAACTTTTTGGGGTCTCAGATGTACAGTTTTAATTGTTATGCTACAACGACAATAAACACGAATGCAAGCTCAAGCACGAATGCAAACACCAATTTCACCGCGAACACTAACCATAGAAAATAATGACATTCGTTTAATTCACTTTAAGAAAAGAAACACTAAAAGAGTAATAGTAACCATCAGCATTAGTAAATCGATTCATTATAATTCATATAATCTCTTATAAATCTTACATTGTATTAACTTTCCTTTTTTCCGAATTAACTCCATTTTTATAATCTACTAATAAATAAAAAAAAAAAAAAAAAAAAAAAAAATATTGTCCATCTTTCTCCTGCCGACTTAATACAAATATATGCAATGATGCTTGAAAGGAAAATCGTCAATAAAAAAAATATGTTCTTGAAGGTCGATACCAATTGACAACGATCATTACGCCATTGTACACTCACGTTCCGGCTCAAGACATTCCGGTGTACAAGGAGGCCGTGCACGGGGAACAAGCAGTAATAATATGTAATTTTTAATTTAAAAAAAAAAATCCTGTGTCACTTCATAAGGAATACGGTAGGAAGAATGTAAATATATAAAAAAATAAATTTAAAATATATAATAATATAATAATGATAATAATAATAAAATATTCAGTTTTAAGTAAAATAAGCTAAGATAAAAATATGTGTTCAAACTAATCGACTTAATTGTATTAAAAAAAAAAAAAAAAAAAAAAAAAAAAAAAAAACGAAAAGCTTAACGAAAACTTAAGAAAACTGCCCTTCATTTTACCTCCATTGCAACGGCTTTTCATAACTTTAACTAACGTGAAATAATTACGGTAGTAGTAACACAGAAATTTGGTTGAATAGCTAGTCGTGTAAAGGGCTACGGGAACCATAAACAACAAAAATCGGTTTTGACTAATCTACCTTAGCAGACAATGAATTTTTAACACGTCTCCCAACACAGTCGCCAAACTCATAACTAACTAAGATGAACCCATCGACCACACTCGTGTCCCCATGAGCCTTACATTCCTTTAATCAATGTCATATCCTCCTAAACCCTCACCCATATCCATAAGGCATATTGTCTATTTTCGCAATTTTCTAAATCTCAGACGTGATCATAGAACACGAAATTTTATATAAATGTTCTTCATCTGACTGAAAGGAAGGACGTGAACCGCCATCTAGGGATATAATTATGTGCGATAGATCATCCTTTAATTACAATTGGTGTTCAGTGATGAACGCACGGTTAGCGAAGACATAAGTTATGCCGATCGGACATCCACATACGGGGAAGCGACCACTCACTATCTTTGTACCTCTCTCCCTCTACGTCTTCTCAACCCCCTAGTGATTGGTCATATTAAAGAAAAAACAAAAAGATAATACATTACAATTGTAAAATATTTCAACGACAGCCACATGAGTCGCCCGTGTTGAACCAATTTAAACTGGCTCATTAGGTGGCTCAGTGAAAACCAATCTTTATATTAATGTCTCTTATGAGGTATAAGTTAAAGCCCATTACCCGTTGGGCACATGTGCGGCTTTCGCATATATTGGAACTATTTCTGGGGCCTACATCTGATATGAATTGTGTAACTAGGAGCAAATTACGCCCATTTCCAAAATCAGTTTATTATGAAGATACACGAAAAATGGAAAGCTTTCTACATCGGTTGTTGCAACAATGAGCATTTTAACATTACATGGCAAACAGGCAAAGTGACAGACAGATAGTAAGGCGAAATAACCTCATTGTCTTGGTTTGTAGTATGTCTAGCAACTATTTCTGGGTGTTAAAAACGCTTTCGAACAATGGGCGGCAAGCAGTCAGATAGATAAAAGGGCTCAACACCGTCTCGTAACTTTACTTTAAGAAAGAGACTGATACATATTTCTGGGTGTAAAACACTTTCTAACAAAAAATGGCAAATACATGGACATACAAATCGACGGAGGAACTAGGCTAAATCGCCTCGTCTTAATCTTATTTCATGAGATATCATCTGCTTCTGGTCCTTCCGAATGTCTTCTAAGCAAGGACGCCAAACCAACGATTCCTCAAAGGAATCAGCATTTTTTTGTATTTTAAGCTGTGTGATTCATATTTTGCGAGGAAGCAGACGGACAAACGGACTGGCGAACAATTTTACATTGATTCGAAAGCTTTATTTATGGGATCGCGAAAAAAGATACCCCCATGCATCCATGACGGAAATATCCAGAAATATGCATAATGTATAAAAGATTAAGCCACGACGCACATATCTTTAATATGCCTTCGATTCACCAATGATGATTAGTGAAGTTTGACTTCAAGTTGCAATTTTAGTAGCGTCGATTTCGAAGTATTTTTCTTAATTATTTATCACGTCTACGGCAAAATCTAAATAATATTTGAAAAGCTCACCTGAAAATTGTTCGCAAACTTATTAGTCTTCAATTGAAGATAAATCCAAGGATTTTCATTTATTTGGCGATAGGTGTCTAAGATTTACTTTTTATGCTCTCGGGCTTAATCCAAAGCTCTGTTACTTTTTAACGCCCAATTATTCAAAATTTATTTTAAGATGAACTCTTTACTCGACAATCGATGTTATTTTAATCAAGAGTAGGGCGCGAGAATAGATTAATGTTATCGTTCCATTAATAAATTCCACAAATGGTGTATGTTAACCTCGAAAACTTAGTAAAGCTTATTCTGCGGCATTTTTTTTGTTTTAAAAACAATAAAAAAGAAGAAAAGAAAAGTAAAGTAAAACAATAAATTCATTATTCATTTAATGTAAACATTTTTAATAATAATAATAGTTTTTAATTATATAATAATGAATATATATATATGTTGTACATTTAAGTCATTAACGTACTTAAGCGATTACGAGTAAAACTCATTTTTCTCTAATTTTTTCCCCCTCTCTACTCTAAAGCATATGTATAAATCTAGGCGAATGCATTTTTTACATTGTCATTAACAAATTTATGTATATGTACACGTATATGTATATATAACGAATTGTGCTTTAATTACTTCGATAAATTTATAAATGCTTTCAAATATAAAATTTTATGTACTAAATAAAAATTCTTTTTAATTTCCAAATGCTTTTCATTACTTCCGCTTTCTATTTGAAAGATATGTGACTGTGTGTTGAAAAGGAAGTTTTCTACATTTGGTTTGGTTCCCTTTCGAAATGTAACGTATAGTTAATTAAATTTGAACGTAGGGCAAAACCAAGATTTAATGACTCAACACTGTGCTGACAACATGCTAAAGGAACTTGTCGGAGATTCTACAAATTATATATGTGCCGCGATCGCAAGAATTAAAGTAAAGATATAGTACATTGACTTCGTATTTAAGCCTGTAGCTCAACCTTGAATCCTATATTTTAATATTGAGATATTTTGCAAAACCCCGTAGAACCAATGCGCAGGTTCGTCCGCATTGCACGCAGATATATTCACTTAAGATGATCCAATGAATCACTCCAAAGCAAAAGCCAGCTGCATAAATAAATGTTTGCCGGTTTTTAACGAACAACACTTATGTTTCAAAACAATGATATAAAATAATTTATTCGAAATTCTAGCCGTCGCTAGCTATGCATTGTCCCCATGTCCTTGTTAGAATGTGAATTTCATGCCCGAAGGATATTTAGTCACCTGAAGCCATTTTTTAGGTGTCTTGTAAGGAATGGAAGCGCTGCTCACAGAGAGAAAAAGGCGGCAGTCGAAGCATACAATAATTGGGGGGAGAAATGTGTGTGATACCGCTTCTCATTTTCATACTACCAAAAAACTGAAAAATCATCTTATTGACCTTTTCATCTCTTGTGGCCGTGGATTAAATTGTATTAGTTGTTGTTTGTAGCTTTCGTTCGTTATGGTTTTGTTTATTTGAAGCAACTCATAATACAAGAAATCCACTTGATTTCTCAGATCATTGATATTCAGCACTACTGTCGATGTTAAGGGTTTGCCTAGTCTGCGCCGTGCTATCGTGAGGCATCCTTAGTTCCCCTATACAACACTATTCAACATCGCTGTATTTCGAACTAAGTAAAAGGCGCAACGCTTTCCCGTTTGGTGTGTTCTGGCGCAGACTTCGACCTGGTCAAAGTCATTCAAAGCAAAGAAAACTAAAGCCCTCCGCGAACAATCGTGAATCACGAATGTTAACAGTAACTTTAACTGGAAAAAACACGCATGACGTTCCTGCTTTTAAGTTCGCTTTCATAAAGATTTTTAAAGCTTGACAACAATGTAAACAAAAACCATATAATTATCATATCTAATTAATGCTCAAAAGAGGGACATTGCCGGCGCGCACGAAAGCCGATAATTTGTACATCAAGTATAATTCGCTGCCATGAGGATATTACACGGTATGAGGGATGATAATGGCAGACTGTAAAAATCTAATTTTCGATGTTGAAACGTTAATGTCGTTTAAGTTTTACATTCCATATTTGTTGTCGCTATTGTAAAGCCTTTTATGCACGAATCACAAGAATTTTTAACGCACAGGCTGCATAAATCGGTTACGTGTAGTTCAATTTCTGGGATTTGGGGAAAAAGGTTCACCACATCCATAGCTTTTAAAACAAGCTGCAAAGGATTTAACAAAAACCCTCAACTTATTCGTAATTAGCGAATGGCGTTAGAACAACGTGCTGAGCGACTAATTTGTCTTGGAATCTTGGAAGCTTTTACATATATTGTAACGTTTATATTAGACCCGGTTTCTCATATAATATAACGAATATATAATATATTTCGCCATTTATCTCTAAATATCGGAAGCGGTATAATAATGTATAATATTTGAAATAACTGTACTCGTAAGTAGTTACTTATATATTAGCCGACAAGCCGATGATCTACTCACTCGATACACTAATAGTATATTGCATTGCGCATTCATTGCACGTACATTACATCATATTTTTAGTCAATATTTACATACTGCAGTCTATTCTTAGCAAGTTTAGACGAACATTTCTCCCGATTTAGTTAACTTAGGGAGGTGGCATGAAAAGTTTAGGACCCAACTTACACCTTTCCATTAAAAAATCTAAAATTTGAAGCCCGCAATATGTGGAAAGGCGGACGCATCTCGAATGATTTGCTAATGTTTGAATTTGACCCCAGAACATTCCTCTACACGAACATTTCACGCAGTAATTAAGACTTCAAAACACCGACAACAGAACGATGGCAAGGGCATATGTAATTCAATCAATTCTATAACAACATTTACGGATATGTGTTTATATATTATGTATGTATATGCTTCGATGCTCCTTTCAATGCATTAATATAACCATACGACAAATCTTTCGCACACTTTCGAATGTGGTACTTGTCTCTAAACACACACTGATGTTACGTCTTATGTACACATCACCTTTTCAAGTGATTTTCTAAGACTGGAATTTTTTTAAGGAAAAATTAATTATATGAATTTAAAACTTTAAAGGAAAAGGTCATTCATTAACTGTGAACCTAGCCTGACAAAATGGGGAACAAAATGAAAATTGGGGGTAAAGTTTGTTTTTCTAGTCAAAACTTTGAGACTGTCATCATAATTTCAACAGGCCGACAAGTAAGACGAAAAATATATCTAAGTCTGTTTCGTCCCTACTCATAACAAGAATATGAATATTTTGCGGGGTTTCCAATTTCATTCTTTCACCACAAGCTTTCTTTATTAATTATAAAAACTTTGGTTATAAAATGCATTTAATTATAAAGTGACATCGTACATGGCAGATTTAGGAGATAGTTTCAATAAATAAGAGTTGCAGATTAAGCTCACTGCGCCCAGTTTTTAAAAAGAAAAAAAAGAAGAAGTTATTATGATTTGTTTTCAGCCTGGTCCAAATTTCACTTTGATCTAAAGAGAATGAAGTAAGAAAAGACCTTTGGCCGTATCGCAAAGAAAAGTCCTTTGCATAGCCGTAAGCAGGCAGACAGCATGTGGGTATCTGTCTCGCAGTTCTCATTCAAATTCAAAACCATACACACCGGGTGGGTAAGGCTAAGATTAAAGTAAGGTGTGCTATGTAAACCGTGTAATACTTGCTATAAAAATAAATGAAGGCGACCGGAATTCTACCCATCATTAATCTGCCCGTCCAATTTTCTTTTTTTCAATTATCCAAAGTCTCACAGAAACCGCATTCAGATAGAACCAGGACCAAAGTCAGCTGAAACCTTCTAATTTCTAAAGTTTAAGTAAACCTAACAAGTATCCCGCGCCGGCTATAATGAATGACTAAACAAAAACTTTTATATACAAGTTGCCCCAAGCTTGGCCTTACTTACACTCTTGTATGCAGGTTGTTTCAGAACAAAGAATCGTAAAAAATAAAATACCGTTGTGCATACTCGGTAAAAATTTATCTTGAAATCGCTAAATTAACATCACTAACAGCAAAAACAAAAGAAAAAAAAACAAAAGTCCGCTCGCAAATTCGTTCAGATAATGTTTGCATTTGCGCGTATTCAATGAATGGCAGAAAGAGAGCCGGTTACGAAGTCTCTGACATTCAACTTAGTTGATTTTAGATGACGGTTCCTAGTGGTTGTATTCGTTAAGTGTCGCGCAATGTTATCATGCCACCGGATATAATTCTTAGTGACAGCTAGCAGTGATTGAAAGTAATTTTATTGCTTACCTAGTTTTTTGATATAATTAATTAAACAATTTTATATATAACATAAAATATTAATATATGCATGGTTGGATATGCAGTGTTGCTGCGACTTGCAGAGATTTTTCGTGTAAACCGTATACTATAGAGAGTTCTTTGTTGAAATACCAAGATAAACATGCACACATGCACACAAAAAAGACTATATATATATTATGCATGAATATTTTTACTGAGACTTTACTCGCTAGCTATTTACAACAATAGCATGTCATTAAAATGTTTTTCTTGTGAAAACGCAGAGTAAAAGCGGATTTGACATATTACTCGGTTTTTGTTTTTTTTTTTTCTTTTTTTTTTCCTGCTATATATTGCAACTTCATAGTACACCAACACAAAATAAATTCTACTTACTATACTCGAAAAGTTTTCTTTAATCATTGTTGAATCGTTGCTATAGCGTTAACAGTAAGACAATGTTGTGTTTCATGTAAATAAAGCGCGCAATTTACACAGTTTCGCATGTTATCCGAATTGTTAATGCTTCAACTATATATGTATATAGGTGAGTATGACTTAATGCAAAGTAAGTGACGACATAACAAAAACAAATACAATTTGCCCTGCAGTGCGAAAACATTCGTGTGTTTGCTTGAGAGGCTGAGACTTAACGTTAGTTTTTACATTTTTTTTTTTTGATTTTTGTTTTTTGTTTTTCTTTTTTATTTTTATTTCATGTTTTCCTTGTTCAATGTTTTGTCAATTATTGTGGCAATCGTGTTGAATATGTTTGCAATTGCCGCTGAAAGCTAAATAAAAATAAATTTTTTTTGCAAACAAATGAATTCACACCATCCTCACACACGCAGAGTACTTTGTCATTCTATTTTTTGTTTATTATACCTCGCATGGAGGAAATATATACCGAGAAGCAAATAACTTAAGCTCTAGCAGATTTTTAATTAGCATAACCGTTTTGGTTTTCGGTTTCCTGGAAATTGTAAATCGAAATTTTCCTCAAACACTTTGTCGATCAAGTTTAAGTTTGCGCCCCCTTGCTTCCCATCAACTTTTGATATTTAAAAAAAGCACAAAAGAAACAAAAAATCAAAAATCAATCTGGGGATGTGATAATAACAAGTTTTCCAATACAACCAAAACAAATGAATGGCAATCATTGACCTAAAAAGGAACAACACAAAGAGCTGAGAAAAACAACAAATGAAAGCATTGTAGTCGCACAAACGCCAACTATTAAATACTTCGCCTTATACTATTCCATGTCATAGAATATTGAAATGACAATCAGTTACTAGTTACGCGTTTACTTTTTATCATAAGCTTATATGGGAAAATGGTCTAAAAAAAGGGAGCAACGTAGTCTAAATTAAGGACAGCAAATTTCTAGGTCAAATCATTATTCGGAACTAATATTCGTAATAGAATGCTGAAAGTAACACCTTATTACCAGCTCAAAAGGTCGATGCTCTCATCACATTCCTATTTCTCACATGCGTTTGCTATACGAGTACCGCAGTCCTCGATAATTACCTGAACTACAGCTATATTGTGCGGTTGTGAAAATGTTTTATAATTCGAAAAATTAAAAACAAGTCACAAAAGTTTGAATTTTAATTCACGGGAGTTATGTGTTCTTGTTAACGCCGAGATATGCATTTGAGAGGGCGGTCGCAGTCCACGATCGTGAAAAATATTCTACAAACCATACCCTAAAGTCGCTACAAATGATAGCCCACGAACACACCATGAGTTCAAGAGCAGCTGATGCATAGAGCGGGAGAGACCCCAGTGATGGTCATGCAATTCTCATGAACTTGTATGTTGGAATAGTAAATACTTGAATGTCCTAGCGGCTTCTAACCTCGTCAGGTTTAAACATGCAATGTATGTGTTTTAATATTTAAATCAATTTACACTTAGCAGTGACCTGTAATGGTTTCTAACGATGGACAAATAGATAATATGTATGTCAGCGACAACCTTCTCAATGCAGACCCTTTTTTGAGCGCATACACATCCCCAAGTCAAATACGAGTAATCGCTTGAGATTTGCCAAAGATTACCCTGACAGAGACTATGAATGCAAACGTATGCAAGTACAGGCGCCCCTCGCTTAACACGTTTATTCCGTCTCGTGCTTGTCGAACCCGTGTTATGCGGAAATTTTTGATTTCTTTCTTTAAATCGCAATATCATATGGGATAACATAGTTTAAGCTTAGACATAACATAAATCAAAACAATGTACGTCGTGTGGTATCGAAACCGTATTACAGCATACCTTGCAACAATGTAAACCAATGCAATGCGTGCCCTGTGCCCTGTGCGTGTCAAAACCGAATCTAAAAATTGTAAAACTTTTTTGTTTTTAAAGGAAGAAAATTATATTCATTTGTGATCGAATCTTTTATACTCATCATTATTATCCTATAAAAAACTAAAAAACAAGGAAAACAACCATCACCGTTATCCCAGAAAAACACGGAAAGCAATGGTGTTCACAGTTTTGATAACATGGGAGTGCGGGCATTGCAGGCGTATTCTTTAAAAAGTTTGGCTTATTCTCAAATTATTTTGCAAGTTTGTAGGCGATATTTTCATTTTTGCGAACCGGAGATTGTTTACCGCAGATGCTGCGTAGTTCCGCAGACGGACGGATGGACAAATGGGCAGCCGGATATGCTTCAGTGCATTCCAAATTTGAAAATTGGTTTTCTATAGTGCAAGAAAAAGAAAATTATGACACACTATAAAATCGAGTAGGCGTGGCCGATTTTTTCCATCTTTATAGACGCACTATAACATTGTCCATACATTTAAATTTTTGCACATTGATCTGTTATAGTTTATGAGTAATAAGCAAAAACCCAATTTCTTATTCTTTTTGAAAAACAGAGGTGTCCTCACTTTGCGTAGGACTGTAAGACAGATTTGGCCCATTTTCAATGTCAATCTGCTTCCAAGAACTTCCAATGTTTCTTTCAAATTTATAGTCGATAGCTTACTTTTTTCGGCCAGGAGGATGTTCGCAACAGTATTACGGAAAGACAGACGGACATGCCTAAATCGATTTAGAATTTAATGCTGATCAAAATATATATACTTTGTGAGATCCCTGAAGCTTCCTTCTGTGTTTTGCAGACATTTTGACAAAATGAATATATCCCCCATTCCCTCGGTGATGGATGTAAAAGTAATGAAGACGATCAGAAAATGAACTCAATCAAAAATTGCAGCCAATAAAAGAAAAATACAAATCAAATGAAAAACCACAATTGGGCGCACCAGGCCCGTACATATTGCATTGTCCGATTCAAAAGAAAAATGTACACTTGCTTGCATAGTCATGGCAAAGTGGAATACACCAGAGCAGTGTATAATCCCTTTAAAGATTAAGTAAACAGCTTTAAAAGCCAATAATTTAAACAAAAAATGCAAATGTTCATAAGCATGTGTATAGACAGTGTGGTAACTCAAACCCAAGTATGAGCGATATCACGATCACATCGTAAGGTAAAGCCTACAGTGTTTATCTCCTACTTGACGAATTTGTATTATTTGGAGATGACTCATTTTTATCATTAAAACTAAGCTCGTCATTGTCATTATTCGGAGCCATTAACTAAATTCATTGGCTTAACGATCAACGATCGCAGAGAAATTATATTTCTTTTCGAATTAATTCACTCATCATAGAACAATTCATTGAACAAGCTATTAAATCATTCATTCCGTCAATAAATTGTTTTTACTTGATATCGTTTATCCCTAACGTAAAAAAAGGTTATGTGCAAAATATAATCTAAGGCTGAAAGTATTTGCTCTCTCTCTTGTTTTATTAATAATAAAGATTTCCTCAAGCATAACCGATATTGGCCGCATAATACGTGCTTTCATTCTGAGCGGCCCAGTTTTAAAACAAATGTAGAGAATTTCATTGTGCAGTAGTAGTAGTAGTAGTAGCAACAGCAGCAGAGAAAGGGAGAGCATTTTAATTGCTTTATACTCGTGTCATGTTATTTATATATTACATCCGAGTGTTAAGTGAATTTCAATGCTGTGAATAGTATGAATGCGAAGTTTTAATGATCATATGAATGCGCGCCAGTCAGCGACTCAAAGTAAATGAGAAATAAACAAAACAAAGAATTAAAACTATATCGAAAAGTTTATATTCTATATTTAGGCGAATTTAAGATGCCCCCTACGTAAAGCGCGATAGTAAGAAAATAGTAAGAATTCCGATCATTTTAAAACTTCGATAGAAAGAACCCCATATTTGCAACATGTGTTTTGCAGAAATTGCTTAAAATTTATGTAGATCTGTGGAGAAAATTGATTCAAAACGGCATACAATACAGTTTTGGTATTCCAAATATGTCGGTACGTATACCAAGAAACGAGGCAGCACGCCAATCTCCATCAAACATTGAGAAGTAGTTGACATTGATGACTAATCTGACCTTGCACCCATATGCAATTCAAGGTCTTAAGGTCCAATATTGCAATTAAACTAAAACAATGGCCAACAAGTCTTGGGACCCAACACAGTCATATAAAAGCCGTCTCTACCAAAAAAACCGTTTCTATTTTTTCAAAACTAAAAGAGTCCTCTAACGGTATCTTCCAAAGTTTCATATCATTATGAACTCGCTTTGTTTACGGATTACTATAATTTTGGCGATTATTTTGACGATGCTTCTGTTATTTTCAAAACAATTGAGAAAACGTCCTGATTAAACAACTTAAGCATCGATAATTGAAGTTTCAAGAAATAGCTGACAACATGAACATTTCAAAAGGCAGCGCAATTTAAAATAACACATGAAAATTTACGCACATGAGAGTAATTTTCTAACTGGAAATCGTACTTAGTCGCAGCGAAACATATAAACTGTGTCAAAAGTCGGTGACTCCAAAAATGATAAAATTGCAGGCGTTCAAGATCGAACTGCTGACCCATTCACCGTACTCTTCTTCAGACCTGGCCACCATCCAATGTTGCCTATTCGTAAATCTTAAAAGGGTACTCTAGCAAAGAAGATTTATTGAGGCGTATTTTAAAAGTTTTGAGAAAATTATCCACGGCAGCCCAATAGTAGAGAACTTGTTCATTCTTGGAAGGGTGCTACGGTGACGAAAAAATTAGAATCTCGAAAACCTAAAACTTTTCTATTGAATCCCGGCAATTATTGACGGATGTGTGTATTAGGTCGCAGAGAAATTTTCATTGAAAACAATTAAGGAAAACTTGGAGCCTATAAGCTGAGCTACTACGTACGTCAATTATTTCAGTCGTTTCTTCCACAAAGGACTTTTACCTTCAAATCGAGACTTTTAGGTATTTACGTTTTAATATGTTCAATACTGAATATATATATATATATAATATAACTAACTTTTTATGCCGTTTACCAGTTGTGATATGCGGTATATTAAGTTTGTGCGAATGCATGCGACGCCTACAATGTCTTCAGATACACTCATCTTTTACCATCATTAAAAATGTATGTATGTGCATGTAGTGACATTTGGAAAATTATTATATGAAACAAGATTTTGATTCCTAACAAACAACGAAAAGTGTTGAAAATAGTATTTCGGCATACTTTATTAAGCAAAGGGGGAAGAAGATTCTGTTTTGTAACCCCGTCTCTTTTAATAAAAGTAAAACTACGATAGGCAGTAAAGTTCAATATTTGCTATTTTACGACAAATATAGGTGAAGACGGTAAAGGATTGTATTAGCCAAAGTGCTGCATGATAGTGACGGTTGTTTTTTTCTCCTATATGATTTATATCTCTTCCGGGGTGAGTAGCCCATTTGGGTCTGACTGCCTTTTATATTACCGTTATAATTATTATTTACCTTTTCTGCATAAATAGCGTAAACTCGCAACTTGTTCATACAGTTAAAAGAAAAATCAACAGGTGGCAGTCATGCATTTCCGAAAATAATCCCTACCAGCGTATACGACATCGTTCCAAAGAACGCAACGCTTTAAGAATAACTTTAATTAGGCGTAAAAGTTTGGTTTGAACTAAAGCTCAATCGGCTATTGGCTGCATAGGCGGAAGCGAGCGTGAGCAGTTCTTTCCTGCTTATCACTCCCAAATTTGTTCACAACCATAACTCTTAGCTTAGGAACTTTACAATTTCTAATTAAAGGAACTGATGAACCAGAGAACATATCTCCGCGAGCATTTAAGAGTCTATTTATTATTTGAGATTTCGGTTAATCATAACTAAATGTTACAAACGCAATGTCAAACTGAATAAACTGCCGCCCGTATTGTACTCGTTGGTGTATAAAGAAATTATTGCGTCATATCTGTCTGCTTTATTGGTAGGTCAATAACATTCCATATCTATTAGATTTAACTATTGTTGATAGCGATTAAATGTAAATATAATTAGTGTTAATCTAATAATCACAACGTAGTTGAAGTAATCACAAACGAATTTTTATTTCATTTTTTGCAAGTAATCAAGGGCTTAATACACACTCACATATACTTCTGACGGCATGCATGAAGAAAAAAAGAAAAGAAAAAAATCTCATTCATTGAAATATATGTTGTATGCTTATGAGTTCGCATAAGAGAGAATAAGAATGCGTGGACATATGTCGTCGTCGGAAACAAGTAAAATCTTATTTTTTCTTGTGGCGAAATCTTGAATACCAGCAATCTAACGCAAATATATGAAAATCGTGCTTACTCTTAATTGGTAATGGCATTACGCCAGATATTACGACCTCTTTAATATTGAATATTGGCACTTTACAATATTGCCCCGCATTTGGGTCAACTTATAGTAGAATGTCTAGTCATATATGATTGATAAAAATATCGAAAGAAATTTTTGAATTTTTTTCATGGCCTTTTTAATGTTACATAAACGTGGGTGAACTTATAGACGAATTAGGTTTATTTCCAAATGTACACTTAAACTTCGTGCCTTCGATTATTTCATTTTTTGGCAGGCATAGAGATAATGTATGTCCAAGTTTAATCGCAATTCAAAGTTGATGAAGGGAGCGGATTCACTACGCACTAGCCTAGCTGTAGAGTTTCGTTTTCTAGGTAACTACCCAGTTCCTACTTCTCTTAAATTATCTGACCGATTTTCAGTGATGCGACTTTACTCGTGCATTCGTGAGCAGTGAACTATAGCGATCTTCTCGATTTCATACACACTATTTTTTCCCTCTCTTCATCTTTACCTCTAGGATCCCTTCTTAGACTTGGTTATTGTAAAGGGATAATTACGCGGAGCGATCAACACTACAGAATTCGAAAACAGACAATTTGTTGAGACAACAGAAGATAACGTTAGGAAAAGAAGTTGAAATTATTTACGCAATAAACACCGGGTTATCTTGGTTGAATTCATTGTCTTTATTTGGTATTAGCGCCTGTGTACAACCTCAGTATCGCTCACATCTGTGTGTCTCTCTATCTCTCTCTCTCTATCTCTCTCTTTCTCTCTCTCTCTTACTCTCTCTTTCTCTCACTCTCTCTTTTTACTTCTCTAATAGACGCACAAACTATCCCCACTACAGGCATACATGCAAACATAACACGTGCGCAAAATAAAGCGAAAATCCCTTCGTTTGCTATATCTATCCTACAGTAAATAACGCTTGCTCATTGCATTTGCGTACAATTCAGCAGCACTTTGGAGGAGAAATTGCAAATCCAAGCTAAATTTAAACGCATCTCCGCTCTTAGCTTCAATTTTTAAAATGGTTTTCTGATGAGATCTTCGCGCTCAGCACGCAAGTGGAAATATTTAAAGTTCAAATTAGAAGAACTAACAATTTCTAAAGACATTCGTGAAGAGATGAAAGTTATAAGTTTGTTGTAATAATAATAAAAACAACGTTAAGTGAGCCCATTGACTAAAATTGTTGATTTGCAGGGTTAACTTGACGGGAATGACATGAAAAATTTGAAAACATGTAATTTTCTGATTTGATATCAACCGCCAACAGACAAATATGATGGCGCAACTCTCTTGATAACTTTAATCATATTGGATATATTTAATATATGTGTCGTGTAGCGCATATAAAAAAAGTATAAAAGTGAAAATAAGAATGATACCGTATTTAGTTTGAGCCGCATTTTTCGAGATCTCCTTTTTGAAAAAATTGTTGTTTTAGATACAACTGGTAGATATATACCGCAACTGATACCACTTATGAACGAATTTAATGAAAATAAAAACTTTTTTATCTATTTCCTCCTGATTACATATTTCTTCTCCCTCTTTTTTTCCTTAAGGTTTTAGGATTTATTCAGCACGACCAGCATATTTATTCTAAGCAAACTACTTTTGTGATATTTTGTGATAAACAGTCAACTGACTTATCCTCGAAAATGACGATAACTTACACAGGCGAAGTAGCCACATGCAGAGGATTTGGATGTTTTCTGAAATTATTATTAAGGTAAGAATGTATCCATATAAATGTATATACATATACATGTATGCGGAATCGATGCTTCTTTAGATCGATACTGCTTTGATATCGTAAAGAAAACTTTTATTGAAAACAAAGTAACAGCTCGTAGAAAAGTTTCTGGGTCTAGCGTACAGTCATGGGCCTAGAGGTCAAAATCTTCTAATTAATTTTACATTGTCTCTAAATCGTATTCGAAAGAGTTTTAAATTAAACGACCTCCTTCCCCTTTACGGGAGTGTTTGTTGACAAATCGTGTTTACTCGCCAACTTAACCTATAACCTTAGTTTGCCATCCATAAAGGGCATTTATGCCCCTAACTGACGCGCGAACGGGCTTGCTAACTCTCGACTAAATCAACTCAAAATCCCAGTTTAATCAACAACGTATGACACGTAGTGAGTCTATCAATGGCATTTTCGGATGTTGCAACTCGAATAACAAATCTAATTGACCGCTTGAACCCTCTCTATGGATGCAAAAAGTACAAATTACAAAGCATATTCTTTGCTATTAAATAATTATCTTTAATTTTGTTATTACATAATGCCACCTACAGTGTAATACAAATAGTCTCACAATGATAATCATTTCTCAACTACAGTCACATTTCAAATCTATATAGCCCTGTAATCTTAATCTCGCTTTTAAGTAGTTTATCATATGAAATTTATGCGAAATTAAGCAATGAGCAGCTATTGTTATACCGCATACAGGTGTCAGTCATTTTACCACATTTCACAAATTTTTTCTAAACAGTTGAACAAAGTATGAGAGGGAACTTGCATTTAATAAATTAATTTCTTTGCAATTTAATTAATCAATAAGTTTGTGTCACAATTTCCCTGCATATATTACGTTCGCAAGACGTTCGTGAACTTCATATGTAATTAAAAACAAGTAAGAAAATTATATTCGGTCGCGACCGTTCATCGTTCACCGTCGTCGTTATCCTGAAGGAGACAAAAAAAAGTAAAAAAATACATTTTCATGCTTTACAATATAAAAGGGGCGAGGCTGATTATTTTTATTTTCAAAATAAAAGTTTTTATCATACAGACACGCGGGCGGCGTAGACCCTTTGAAAAGCCGGCATATTCGTTTTCGTTAACGCGAGAGTATTTACCACAGATACCACACGGATGGACAGACGAACGCATGGACATGTTTAGGTGCATTCCAAATTTGAACCTGCACAAGAACTTATGCACTTTATGGCGTTTTCGAAGCTTGTTTCTGTGCCTCATGAAGATACTGAAAAGAAAATTAAGCTTTGATACGCGACAATGTTGGACGGGCGTGATCAATTTTTTATCTTCCCGCCCTTAGAAAAAGCGTACAAATTTTTGTACATTTATCTGCTATAGCTTATGAGTAATGAGCAAGATTCGATTTTTTCTTCCTCTTAAAAAACAGAGGTGTTCTCAGTTTACGTGTTGCTGTAGGCGTGTACCTGCGTGCAAGAATTTCCAATATAAGCGCCAACTTTGAAGTCGAAAAATTCATTTTTGCGGCAAAGAGAAAGTTTACAACATAGTCATAACCGGACAGATGGACATGCTTAAATCATTTTAGAATTTTATGCAGATCAAGGATATATATGCTTTGTAGGGTCTTTGATGCTTCCTTCTGAATGTAGCAAACGTTTTGACAAAATGACTATACCGCTCATCCTACCGCTCAAATATCTCGAGGGCATAGTCCGGGAGGTTAGCGCACCATTGCATCAAGTAGACACTATTTTTACCAATGATTCTCGGAATATTACGAGTAAATCAATCGATTCAACTAATTTTTGTAATCGGCTCATATTTGGCAAAAAAAAGATGGTACGAAAGTTGTACAATCTGAGTAAAATTTCGGATAGCAAGTTAACAGAAAAGAAAAGTTATCGATTATCTGCCATTATTAGCATAATTTGTATGGCGCGGACAGATTTAAGGAAAGCAATTATTTTTCTAGATAAAGTTTGGAGATCGTTAGCAAATACACAGATAGGTATCAATATCAAAGTTGTTGAGATCAAGGCTATATTTTTATCTTAATTAAATTAGTCGATTAGACAGCAATAGATGAATCCAACTTTTAGGAGGAGCTTGACGAAATAAAGAAGAAAATCACTTGGGAAAAGTTTGCTTTTCTGGTGATTCTAATTCCAGCAGCCCAATGTGCAGACACAGTTTAATCGAATTTTTGAAGACAATTTTCCAGCATGAAAAAGAAAATATTTGCGACTAAGTTCAAGTTATAATGTTTTCACAAGACAGACATACAGATTTGATCGAGTTTTGAATCTAATCTGTAATGTAAGAAAAATGATACGAAAAATGTTGAATTCATAATCTGCCTTACAACTGTCACAAATGCAGAAAAGACTAAATACTGCTTTTGACGGTAAACCAAAGAAATAGAAAAAGTAAAATTTGAGGTCACAAGGGCTAACGTTATTTAGAAGAGCCCGACATGCCGATGCAAAAATACGCTTACAGTAGTTGGGCATACAGACGTGACATAATTTGATGACAGTACGCAAGAAGGTTCTCGGTTTCGAATTGGTAATTTTGTTTACATCAAACGAACACATAAACATGTCTGCATGCAATTGCCGAAAGTCGTCTGAGCTTCGACCCCAAAGACAAACAAACGGATCTACGTAAATGTTCACATTAAGCCACAATATATTTATCTCTTGGGGCATTCTACTCCAAAATAAGTTTACTGTGTTGAGCTAAAACCATTTTCCAGCCGGACAAGTTTTTATCTTAAAGTTAAAACGATGATCAATCAACTATAGTGCCATTTCGTAACGTAAGCATATACTCTTCGCATACGTCGCATACGTGTACGAACAAAATTTAAAGGCATTAACTCTAGAATTTGGTAATGCAAGAGGCTTCTCGGCTTATGTTTGAAGTGCGTAATCTTTAAATGTAAAAATCATTGACAATAAAATAGAGTATTAATCAAAGTCATTTCTATTTTAAGAATATCACCGAAACAGAAACATACGTTTAATTAGTACTGCGATGTGATAAGATTATATTTTCACTTTTTTTATTAGCACGTGTGTAATAACGTTTAGACGATTTTAAAAATAATTTAATGAGTAATTGATTAAGGCTTACATAATAGAGGATAGGATTCCCCAGCAAATGAGTTAAGAGAATTATATTAAAAGAAAAGAGAAATTTTTTAGTAGCAACAAACCGAGGGAGGAGCAAGAAAGATCTATTCGTCAGTTGTGGACGGATTATTAGGTAAGAAGCGTACTCTCAATTACTCACATATATATAAGTTGATCCATTTTGCGTGGGGTGACTTTGCACAATAACTTAGATCAAAATGTGCTTTAAACCACATTGTAAGCAAATTACCTTTAGAAGAGAGTGACACATAATTCACTTTTAGAAAATATTTCTGCGCTAAGCTTTAGAGTGACCCTGGGCCACAAGTAGCAATAAATCATAAGTTTTTGTAGGGAGATGTCCTTTAGCATGACAAGTGATAAATTCAAGCTGGTCAAAAATGCGCACACGTAATAAGGTATATGAGCTTTACAGTCGACCATTCAAGTTTGGAAATCTCTTTTCGAAAGAGTTAAATCTTCACCAGTAAGAAAGTTTCACTATGTAGCAATCAATACGAAAAATTGAGTTTTTCCATTTGCGGGCATTTGATCAAAGATTTTCTTTTTAGGTAATATTTGAACCAAATCTTGGCTCTCAGAATTCCGAAACTAAGATTAATTGTTCATTACAAGTGGATATGTACGCGCACCATGAGCATTCCAGCGATTTCAATTTCTTTAACACTTTATGCTTATTTTCAAGAATTGGACCACAAGATTTTATTACGCGCTAACCGCCATCCTTACCGCTATCTTCCATCCCTGTGGCACCACCGTTCGGGCATACCTTCACAGTCTGAGCATACAGAGTGGCCTTATTTGTCGGTGCATGCCTACATTGTTTGAGATGTTTGTACGAGTCCGTCCATTATTATCATCATTATAATTAATTCAGTCAGAGGAATAAATTCTTCAAGCACTAGTATCTAAGCCTTTATTAAAAATTCTACCGCTCTTGAGATTTAAACCCGCGACCATTGGAGTTGTTAGTCGATATCTATTGCCTACTCAGCCACTGACAGGCTTATGCGAACCCAATCGAAAATTATTTTTCACTACTTAAAACTTAAAGCAGTGACTGACAAAATATTTACCGATTCTATATCAGCAATACGAAAGGTTAACTTACGTACGCTCGGAATTAGGGAAAGCGCTTCTTACTTCTTAGTAAAAGCAGCTTGCTGATCCATTATAAGCGTTGCAAGAGTTTTTCTTAGCCTATCAGGTTGATTATGAAACACTGCTTGCGAATAGTTTCAAACTGAAATCCCAGTTACCTGCGGGCTACGAAGTAGACAAATTGATTTGCTTTACACATCTTTTTTGGATCTGGTATAAAGATCGGTTTAATTGTTACACTATTACATAATTAATAAATAATTTTACGCCTCATCTGCGCAGCACTTATGTGCTTGCGCCCATACTCTAAGCTATTACACGTCTAGTGAAATTCGAAAGACTTATGTGCAAATTTGTTTTGATATTTCCAGATGGCGTGGTAGTATTTATAAATTAGTTTGGCTAGATCTCTTGGCATTTCTCTCACTCTACTATTTACTTAATATGGTTTATCGCTTTGCTCTCGATCCTCATCAAAAGGAGTAAGTATAAGTTCTACCTTTATTCTATGCACAACAGTAATGTAACGCTGACTCTTCAATTTATAAATGATTTAAAGGATTTTCGAAGCCGTCGTTCAGTATTGTTACAGTTATAGCGACCTGATTCCCTTATCGTTTGTGCTTGGCTTTTATGTATCGATCGTAATGACGCGTTGGTGGAATCAATACACAAGTATACCGTGGCCTGATCCTATAGCTGTATTCGTCAGCGCTCACGTTCACGGTCAAGATGAAAGAGGTCGAGTCATGCGGCGTACAGTTATGCGTTACGTGTGCCTTTGCTTAACGATGGTGCTGACTAATATATCGCCACGTGTTAAAAAGCGTTTTCCGAATTTGAACAATCTCAAAGTGGGCGGTCTATTAAACGAAAATGAAATGGAAATTATTGAGAGTATGAATAAAGGATTTCCCCGTCACTCAAAACATTGGCTACCCATCGTATGGGCAACAAGTATTATAACAAGAGCTCGTAAGGAAGGACGGATACGTGATGATTTTGCAGTGAAAACTATTATCGATGAACTGAACAAATTTCGCGGGCAATGCGGACTACTTATCTCTTATGACACAATAAGTGTTCCTTTAGTTTACACGCAAGTAGTAACGTTGGCCGTTTATTCCTATTTTTTGTGTTCAGTCATGGGCCAACAATGGACTGAGGGTAAACAACTAGCTAACAGCACCTATGTCAACAAAATTGACTTGTATTTCCCCGTCTTTACAACCTTACAATTCTTCTTTTATATGGGTTGGCTAAAAGTCGCCGAGTCACTTATTAATCCGTTTGGAGAAGATGATGATGACTTTGAAGTAAAAAAAAAAAAATAAAAATTATTTTTATTTCATGTGTGTAGTAATGTCGGCTATCGCTCTCGTTCTCTAGGTTAATTGGATGGTGGATCGTAATTTACAAGTTTCTTATCTAATAGTCGATGAAATGCATCATGAACATCCTGAGCTAATTAAGGATCAGTATTGGGACGAAGTATTTCCCAACGAGTTACCGTATACGGCTGCTTCAGAACGCTTTCGTGAAGAGCATCCAGAACCATCTACAGCCAAAATCGAAGTATCGGAGACGGCTGCGATGCCTACAACATTATCGCATGTGCGCATCGATGATATGGTTGGTAGCGCCGAGCCTAAATCAACAGTGCAGTCTGTTAATTATAAATTCCCAGATAATATGCAGGAAGAGGAGGTTAGAATCAAAGTTCCATCAATGTTAGAGAAAACTTCATACCTCTTGGAAAGAATAATTGAATGTAAAAATGTTTTTGCACTGATCTCGTTTCAAAATTATTTTAACACACAACTTGTAGATAAAACTTTTCTCAATGATTATTTATAAAATAGACGGGAAAAGCTAATTATTGATATCAGCATCTGGTGAACGGTTGTATTTATATTTAATCTTATAAATGGCTTAGAAGCTAATACTAACTTGATTCTAATTCTTTCTTTCCTAAGCAGATAAAAATAGATCTTAAGAAGATTATGTAAACGACAAGATCCTTACACCCCAACCTTATCTTATGCATGCGTACACCTTCCTTACGTATTTATGTATATATGCAATATTGATGTAAATGGAAACATTCTGCACTGCATTAATCTAAAGTGATTTACTTCAATAGCTGTACAAAATATTTTTTACCCTTGTAATTGAGTTAACTGATTAGAAATGTTCTTATTTTCAATTAGGCAGATGATGCCAGTGGCATTCATTTTGTTGCGGGTAACAGCAAAGTTCGGCCTGGTTCATCACCAAGTTTGGTTAGCTTAAGCGGCACCATGTCGCGGGTAAATACTGTCGCTTCCGTTTTTAAACGTATTTTAAGTCGAGAGGATAGCCGACCCAGTTCCACGACACCTGGCGATGACACATCGCAAAAATATCGATTTCCGGGCAGTGGCAGTTCAGCGAGTTTGGTGGTTCAAAATGCTACCACAAAGCCTACGGGTAGTTTACGCATCACGGATCAAGTGATCGAAGAAGTTGATGAACAAGCAACTATTACATCTCAACGTGCCAATGACACCAATCGTCCCAGCGTTCTTAATATATTTCCTCAAGGTCCCAACTCGGCAAGCAACGCACAGATCAAGGGTGAATCAACGGCGGATAGTTCCGCGAAAAACAAAATATATATGCGCACATTTTCGAATGTGGAACCGCATATATTTCCACCGGGTGGTGTGGACGGTTTACTGGCCCCGTCAATAAATGCGAACACTGTGCCGAACACGCCGATAGGGGAGAGTGCAAAATCTCTCTTTCAAAATGGCAGCAAAGAAACAGGTAAGAATGTTATGATTTTTTATATACTGAACGATGCTGTTTATGTAAATGGCTCTCTCTTCAACTTTCTTCGCAACGTAGACCAATTGCAAGATGCTCCATCGTTCAAATGGTTTCTGTCAACTGGTAAAATGTTTTTTTCTCTCTCCAAAACAAAAACACATGTTATAATTGTTATGTGTTTCCTTATTTGTAGTTTTCGTTCCTGTTTGTTTTTTGTATTGTTAAAAAGAAAGTAGTGTTTTTGAGTGACCGATCCTTATACACACATGGATAATGAAAGCATTATCTCCGAACTTATGGGAGTTCGTAGTATAAAATGCATGCCAAACATTATTTGTGCATCTTAATCTGTATATCACGTTTTCGCTCTTCTTCCCACTAAAAGTACCCCTCGCCGGACTTCGTGTTCAATAAGTCGGTTCCTCATTTTGCCAGCATCTTGTCCCATTTTTTTTCAGAAACGACTCTTCCAATTCCATAAATCGTTAGATACTGTTAGCTACCAACCTAATCGATATAAACAGGCCATTAGTCCCCAAAAAGCTTGTCACTCTTCATTCATTTCTCGAGACACTTTAAGTAACCTTAAGTTAACGACAATGATAACGGATTTTGATAAAAAATTTTGCGAATTTACAAACATTCTTTTAATCTTATTCACCTGCGTGGCTTTGATAACAAGAGAGATTTAAAAAGTTGAAGCAAATGATCCGACATACATAACCTCAAAGATGTGATGCATTTATGTTGGAAGAATCTCCTATAACATATAGCGAAAATGTTTCGATACTCGAAATAGTTTCGATGCCCTCAGTTTGTAAACCAAAACTAGTTAAAGGTTAGTGCTACTTCGAATTTTGGACAAAGTTATTTTCAAAAAAACTGTTGCAACCCATGACTTACTAAGAGGAGTTTAGAAAAAATCACTAAAATATTGTTAAAGTCATTCGCAAAATTTGACACTGATGTTAATGGCAAAGAGCGCTTAGAACAGACAAAAAACTGAGGGCTAAGAAAAGTTGTAGTAATCCGAACGGTATAATAAGATTAAACGTAAACTCTGCCGTATATTGGACCCGTCTGTTCACTATTTATTAAGACTTCCTTTAATGTACGATACGAACAATTCCTTGCAAGCAAATTTCGCAAGTGAAATCTTGAGTGCGCTTTCTGAGCTCAAAAGATTGCACGGTTTCATCGTTTAAAGCCTTCTTTCCAAAGGAGCAATAAAAACAAAAAAGGAAATTATACCCATCACCGTTATCCTAAAATAGGCAAAAAAAGTGAGAAAACTAAATTTTCATGCTCTGTAATATAGAGTGGGCGCGGCTGATTTTGCCTATTTTAAAATAAAAGTTTTTGTCGCCTAGGCGTATGGACATTGTAGGCATGTCCTTCCGAACGCTTTTGCAATTTTCTAGGCGTTATATTCATTTTCGCTAAATGTTTACCACAGATACGACACAGATAGACAGACGAACAGACGGACGTATTTAGGTGCATTCCAAATTTAAAATCGGACAAGAATTTATGTACTTTATGGGATTTTTGAAAACTGTTTCTGCGCGTTTTAAAAATATTGACAAAAAATATTATACATTGATACCCTATAATGTTGAGTAGACGTCGTCAATTTTTTTAATTTTTCTATAGATGGCGCACCCTCGCCCGTAGTAATAAGCAAAACCCAATTGTTTATACCTTCCCTTTATATGCCTTCGCAGACGAAGGGAAGTCCTTCTGGACGTTGCAAACGTTTTAGCAGAGAGCATGCACCCCTCGTTCTTTAGTGATGGATATACAAATATACAAAGAAGTTTTGAGTATCATTAGACAATTTTTTGAAAACCAAGGCAAGAACCATACTTTTACTGAGCAAATCCGCTTTATAGTGATCATCTTGCCTATAGAATCCTGAAAAATATATCAAAAACAGCTGAACGGTAGAATGTTATGAAATTGGCAATGATAGGAGCTTCTATGGACGTACTCTTATATTTCTATCAAGTCTTACTATTCAATGCGATTTTTATATCTCTGAACCGATTGACATTTTCAAATCGACTTAGGACCTTATATCCTCTTGAAAATTATGGAAGAATGCAATTAATGTAACGTTGTCTTCAATGATAAGTGGATATTGACTTTCTATCACTTGCTGCCCGAGCTACATACACGACCACACTTAGATCGAATGTTCTTTGTTGTTGTTGTTGTTGCTGTGTAATTTATTATTATTCTATTGTTCCTGCAAGTAATAAACTGAAATTTTTTTCCTTTGCTCCTGCGCAGTTGAAGATATGGAAATGCGGTCCACAAACGATCTGATAGCCGCTGCCACCGCTGGCACTGAAGGCTCCGACGATTTTGAAAGATTGAAAGCGGAACGGGAAAAAGAGCGACTCGAGAGACAAAAACAAAAGTTTGTACGCTCAGTTAGTACAGCTCCAGGTGCGGAAAATGCACCAGCAACGATTGTTCCTGTCGTGGCAGCTGTAATTCCCCCCCTAACAACTCTAACCACTGAAGAATTGCCAAGAACTGATTTATCGTCTCTCGTCGAACCGATCCTAACCTCGGCTTCTAAGTCAAAGGAGAGTATAGTTGAATGACCCAGAGCGGACTCCCTACACACATCGTCATCTTTTGTATTTTTTTATTAAGAAATGCTTTTTCTATTGCTACATACGTTTATACTCAATTTAAGCAAATAATTTCCGTAAAACGATAATTGCCTTAGAATATTAGAAATCGCAGGAGCCTTACTTCTAAAAATGACATTGTAAAAACAAAAAATTAGTGTAATAATCTTGCGTACATACAAGAGTACAATACAATATTAATTTTCGACTCCGACGTAGTCACTAATTGCTTTACTCATACTTAAAATGTTTTTCAAAACGTAGCACTTGCTTGTTTTTGTAACATTATTGCACGATCTTATTATATCGCCTATATTTATATTATTCGTTCTTAATTTTGTTATTATTATTATTACTATTTTTTTTTTTTTTTTGTTTTACTAAATTGTAAGAACTAAAGATAAGCATGCATGAAAAAACAAAGCGTTTTAAAAGTTAAAAGTTAAGGTACTTCTTATTCTTAAATAATGCTCACGTTCAAATAGTTGATCAAATATTTTTTACATTTTAAATAAAATTCAAACAAATTTAAGCGGCCAGATAACTCAATTAAATTCAAATTTTCGTATCGCTTCCTATGGATTGATAAACTTTATTGTATGAAAGGTATGTATTACAAAGCCTGGACATTATTTCCGTATACATTCTTTTCCACAGAGTGTAGCATCGTTCACTTCAATCCAGCCATGCGACAGTTTTCCTTGCTTACTTTCGCCGGTAAATGGAAGTAATTTCTTCTGAATATCAACAAGATATATAGCGAATATATATTTGCAAACTTCCTAGCTTTTCCTTGTCAAATGTCCTCGCTATGGTAGTTATAAATAGACAGTTCAAAAATGAGGGGAAGCTTAGAGCGACACAATTTTGCTGAAAGACCCTGAATATGGTTAAAACAAAGTCCGTTAACTATGGAAATGTTCTGGGGAAAAACGCTTGAATAGATAAAATGATCTATCGCACAATTATGACAGCAATCGCCTCCAAGAGCGTATAATTGAACTTTTCTCAAGAAGTTCAAACAGATCTCTATGAATCACGATATTCTGGTATTTATCAATTTCAAGGATGGAAGAAAATGTTCAAGCGCTTTTAAATGGGTCGGCAAGTTTCATTGAGATGGAGCGAGCTTGTTCAACAAGTGTACGTATGAAGGATTCTCGTTAAACCGCCTCAAACGAATCTTAGATTAATCTTATATACTTCGCAGTTCGTTTTTGCTGAAATTTCCAACGATTGGATGGGTCGCCTGAGTTGTCTACTACTATTTCGCTGATTGAACTTGGAACAGCTGCAATAAAGTGGATGTATTTTCGACATATTCTGATTGAAAAACAGTTTTGACTCATAACTACGGAAAGATGGACAATGAATTGATTTTGCGCCAGTTGCTCTAGACTCACGTTTATTTTCGGTTGAAATTTCCATCGATAAAGAGGATAAAGCTGAAAAATGAGCATGATTCGCCCATGACGGAGAAACCGAAACGTCAAAAAGATAAGCTACGATCCAATAGAGATATTACTGTACGACTTACAAGTTTGGGCAAAAAGTGATCCCGACACTTTGTATGTATAAAGTTATCTGTAGGCGGATATTTCCCCACATTTTATTACGCAAAGCAAAACTTCCTATATTTGCACACAAATATGATAAATATATTTATGGTGCAAGTCATAATTAGAAAAAGAAATTAATTTTTTTTTTTTTTAAATTGTATTATTTTCACTAACACCCTTAGCATAAAGAACCACATTACGGAAGAGAAATTATCTAATAAATGTAAAACAAAATATACCCATGTATTGCCCATGTATTGGACGATAGATAGGTTGCTCACAAAAACATTTGGAACACATCAAAGTAACAACTCAATTACTTTGTACAATGAAAAAAAAAAAAAAAAACAAGTAAGAAACTCATGTTCGTCGAGGTACAAATCTCCTATACCCACCACTATATTTTTTGGCCTTCTAGCCTCCAAGTCCGTTTGCTTGAGGAAGCCACAAATATTTGTTAAGAAAAAGGGATTTCCGTTCAGTTCCGTTCAGTCTACTGCGGGCTTCTACTCTGATCAACTTGGTTCATTTTCAATAGCAACCCACGTGAAAAAACCTCCAATGCTTCTACCAAATCTGAAGTCTATACATTCATTTTTGAGACTAGGGGAGTGCCAACAACAAACACTACACAGACATACAGACGGATAGGCATGGCTAAACCGATTTAAAATTTCACGCTAATCAAGAATATACATATTTTACAAGTTGTCTGAAGCCTGCTTTTGGGTCTTGCATACATTATGAAAAAATCAAAATGATTATACCCCCTTCCTTCAGTGGTGGGTGTAATAAAAAATATTCCTTCCAAATAAACAAAATTGAAAAAAGGACGAGCTAAGAAAGTTATATACATAGGTGGTCAAAACCAAAAATATCAAACTGCAATTGCTTGAGCAAACCTTTTAAGAATGGAGTCCACATGAAATTTCCAGAAATAGGAAGCTTGACGGACGAACGAGTATCAATAAATTGCCTTCGATTTTAACACTAATCGGGTAAACGTCCGTTACAATTATATTATTGTTTCTGAGCCTATTTTTGGTTGCCATTATGCGATGATATTAAACGCGAGAGAAATTAATGGACGAATGAAGATAACTAAAATGATTGAGTATAACAGTAATGAGATAATAGTTATTACCGCGCCTAACTAATATTTCTAATTGTTATTATTCAAACATTAGAAAACCGAAATGATATTCAGATATCATTAAATTAGCTTAGGTTATAATACCAATATCTGCCTGAGTGGCCGAGTAGGCAAGAGTCTCGACTAGCAACTCAATGGTCGTGGGTTCAAATTTCAAGTGCGGTAGAATTTTCGGTAAAAGCCGAAAGCGCTACTGCTTTATTAAGACTTTAGTCTTAGAATTTATTCATAATAATAATAATATTCAATTTTTTATATATACAGGAGAAAGAAAAGGAGAAGACGAACAAGAAAAATTACAAATCAATTTATTAAATTAAAAAAATGGATGAAAACATAGAATCTATTCCCCAAAGTTCCTACAAATTTGTCTATCAGAAGCGGATGCAAAGGAAACATAAATTGCAGAACAACATAAGTGAAGAGAGTGAGTGCTTAGACGGCCCGAATGATACCAATAAAACATTGGCAATTCAAAAAGATATCGCTTTAGAAAAAAGCGTGGGTTGATACGAAGATGAAATAATGTCCTTAGTGGAATCCCGGCCTTATGTCCAAAGGACAATAGACAATTTTGACAATTTGACAGCATCGCAAAAACTTACATCATGTTATGAATTACTTTCCCAGTTTGCTGAATTATCGACAAGCGGAAGTGAATTTCATGTCACTGATACACAGTTAATCGAATGTTGCAATGAAGTGGAAGTTGTATGATGAAAGAAGTAAACAACAACATAGACGCACAAGAATGAGCTCGTGGTGGCAACAAAAAGAAGACAATGGCAGGTATAATGTTTGAGGACTTTTCTACAATGCCTTTTAGCAGTCCTATGGCACCGCCTGAGAGCAAATTAAGAAATTTGGAGCGGTCCCCTTTATTTATATTACGGGAGAAACCGAAACGTAATTATAGCCGTGAATTTAGAGAAAAGGCAAAATCAAATTTGGAGGAAAAATTCAAGGCCGCTATTGATGATAATTCCATCGCAGAAAGTGAGTTGCTCTTTATAGGCTTTTTTTAACAACCCTAACTTTGAGCATTCTTTCTAGGAGAAGCTTCAAATCGTGGTTATATCGAGAAAGAGGATACGTACAACGTAAATGAAAGTAAGTTGTTTTTAAAATCCGCGATGAGACAATATTCAAATTAATCCAAAATTTTTTAGCTTTAGTACCATCTAATCAGTGTAAAACTGGGATAAGTGAAAATTGGGATGAAGATGACAATGACATATTTGCCTCCATAAGCATGCAAGAAATCTTAGATCAAAACGAGCAGATCAGTAACTCTCCCAATATATCTAAGTTCCAAGTGAATAAGTAGATAATCCAAGGTATGGCATTGATATTCGTCACCCTTTTTTGATGCTAATATTTATAATTTTTTTTTTTATTTCTGCAGGTTTTCAAACAGCGAATGGCAAGAAAGTGGTCATATCTGAGAGAGGGAAAAAACGCGTGGAAGCCTTGCTAAATGAATTTCATAAATGTGATGGTGATGAGGATAACTTGCTTTGTATAAAAAATAAAATTATTTCTAAAAAGCAAAGCATGCTATCGGAGAAAAAAGCTTTTAATACATCTTTAACAAACAGGAAAGAAAAAGGAGATCACCATGAATCCAAACAAACCGGGAATTCGACTTCAAATGTCCCAATGATGTGTCGTAAAAAGCGCTTGTTGTCATTAAATCCAAAATTTAATTTTAAATAAAATTATAACCAACGTCTAGTTGGAGCTTATAGCAACAATCACTTTTTCAACCGCTTTGATTTGTCATTGGGAAAATTAAACTGGCCTTTCCTATTGCTATAGAAATATATATAAAAGAAATTGTTATTCTTTTTCTGTTATCCGCCATAATTTTTATTATCAAATTAAACAAAGCCCTCGCTAAATTCCCTGTTAAAAGGCAAAGCATAGAGTTGCTTGTAATAAATTAAAAAAAAGTTCAAAAAATGGCAGCTCTGTTAAATAGGTAAATGCCCAACTAACAACTTAAATGGTAACGCCATTCAGCTCTGTTAAATAGCAATTTACAAAGGGACACATCTGTTAAAATGCAAAGCCGTCGGCAAAACAAAGGAACACATCTGTTAAAAACATTTGATTTTAACAATAATTTAGATCAAACCACATGTTAACATTGTTGCCATCACTATTGAGAAAAGGACAATGCCAGCAGCAACGTTGCATTTTTCGCTAAAATTTGCAAAAATATGTGTTGTTTTCATGCTCTCACGATTGCGTCAAAGATTATTCAAGCATTTGTGTGGTTGTGTAAATTTGTTGATTGTTGATTTATACATTTTGCTTTAATATTTTCAATTTGCGGTTAATCCATAACTTTCTCCTTGAGCATTTCAGTGAGCAATATAGTGAAGGGAATTTTTTCAAAAAACCGTTTGCTCCTCCAATTATCGATTAATATCTTGAAAGTTATCGGAAAACGACAGCACGTTCTGTAAAAAATTAAAGCAAGAAAAATAAAAAAATTCTAGCAACAATAACGAGAGATAAAGTATTTTTATATTTGTATACAATGGATTCCAATTTTGATAACGAAAATTATTGGAATGATTCGTCTCGCAGCGCTTTCAATTTCGACGACGACGGTGCGGAGACTGGTCTTAAATCGTTAATTGGTTTAGAATCAAATCTAGATCCAGATCGAATACTAATTGGTGACACAATATCGGAGGCTAGTTTCGACAATACTACAAACGCCTTAAACTTATCAATTAACTCAATTATCTCGGAAGATGCTTTAAAGATGATACTGGAAGAACAGACTTTAGATGATCATCTAGTATCGAAAGGTGCGTCGCCGGAAGATGAGTTGAAATTATTGCGACGTCAAGTTCAAAGTACACTATACGTTCCAACGCCAAGTTTAACGGTGCATAAATTCTTACTCGGTAAAAGGGTATCTTTGGAGGTCTACAAGTCATTGTCTGATAAGGAGCAACTATTAGATTCTGTGCTTGAAAGTGGGTGCCCAGGAGATGCTGTAATATGTGTACTGCTTTTTCTAGAAAGAACTTTAAAAGCAAACCATTTTCAGTTTTTATTAGCAAAAAGATCGAAAGCCTTGCATCATTTCATAAGTTTCTGGAAAAATGAAAAGGGAGAAGAAGTAATTTCCCTTCTCCGAACGTTGGGTAGGCATGTTAAGGCAAGTTTACTGCAGTTGCAAAGGGCCTTTGACATCTCAGATACAAGCGAGAGAAAATGCAGGTTGGTCCAATTATCTAACAGTTTTTTACCAAACTCCCCGGTAACAAATTTGTACAATCACATGGTCCAAGGATCAATAAAGTTACTTGAAATAATCGAAAATCACCATAATGTCTTAGACAATAAGCTAAATATAAACTCAACACCAATTGAAGTGTTATTTGCATGTTGTAGAAAAAATGCTAATTGGAAGGATCAGGATATGAAAAGCAGTATTTCTCCCTATCGAGTTTGCGTTGAGCAAGAGATATCCAGCAGTCAGTTTGAGTGGACAGCCTTGAACGAAAGAGCCAATGCCCAAGCTTATGCCGACCTTGATCTTATATTTGAATGTGTGCCGACTTGGTATCCAATGAAGCAAAAACAATTTCATATAAGTTTCTCTGTCGGTTTAGCTATTCTCAGGCTATATGAATTGCAAGCGCCTACCTCAGTTTTATACATGTTCCTAGCTCGTATGACAAGCGCAAGCGAAAAGTTGACGTTGGCTAAAAAAGTTAAATGCACTAAAGCCATAATCGATGCTTTGGTGAGCTTAAAAGATATGGATCAACTCTTGCAACTGCGCAACACTTTACCTGAACGTTCCGAAGAGCAATTCTATTGCGATAGTGCTATCAAAAATGCGCAAAATAAACGCTGGACCACCGAAAGCATTAAACTGAATTTTTGATTTATACACAAGACTTTGCCACTCGTACCGAACCGCGCATTATTTAAAACTTCGTTGGATCTATCCGGATTGCTATTAAACTTATAACGATGACCAATTAAATAAGAATGTTCGAGATTAATCTTGAGAAGCGATAAGCAAAATCTTCCAATTGCCCACACAGTGTACAACAAAAACCTTATATTAGATGGCCAGGTAACTCTTCAGGAGAAAAGGCACGGTGCGAACGAAACCAACGCCTATAAAACTCTGTCAAGCAGATTTTCATTCAAATCTGCAAATATGCTGCTAAGCTCCGGTTTTCTTTAGAAACGAGAATCGATAGCTCCAACAACTAGAACTCATCTGCTACTCCTTATTGATTTTACTACAGAGAGTAGAGAGGAATATTGTAAAGTGGAAAAGTCGTATATGATTGAAGTAAAAGTCGAAACAAAAACTCTCTTGAATGAATTGTTTACTAAAAATTTAATTAATAATATTCTTTATATGCGAACATATTTTTGTCGAAAAAGTTTATATATATAGTAAATATTTACAAATTATTTTTTGGTCTTTTGCATGATCTGTGCTTTCTAGATAGAAGAAGAATTGGAAAATAAATTAGTATTAGAACCATCTCACTCTAAAGTAATAGCTTGCCGTTTTCCATTGCCGAATCTGAAGCCCGTACAGATCATTAAGGCATAAAAAATACAAACCCAATGAGGAGGAGTTAACAACTTACAACAACCACCTTTAGTTCTTTTAAACAGTTAATGTTAAAACGTTTTAGATAATCATAAAAGAAAAGATCCGAATTGACGTTCGTACGCACTTCCGTGCACTTACTTATAAGCAGAAGCGTATGAATATTTGTTATATCCACTTTATTCACGTTCTTTTAACGGAAGTGAAACCCACGTAGTTGTCCTTTGTTCTTTCTAATCCTTAACTTAATAATTTAAAAACTGTTTGGCAAATTTTATGTATTGATTGTAAGCACACTTAGAGGGAGAGAGTAAATATATAAAGAGAAAAAATGCATCCAGCTTAAGGTGAATTATTTGTTACCCACTTCTGGCTTATTTTCTTTGTCTTTATATGCGTAGATTTTAGCGCTCATCAAGGGGATCGTGAATACCTTACAATTCGCACACACTTTTGAGGACTACGCACTTGCCCCGTTAAACTACTGGATATCATTTATTTACTTTACCGATAGGTGAGTTTTGGTCCATCCTACAAGAACGTCTAAGCTTGTACCATCCCCTTAACATACGCTTCGGGATGAGTATAAAAAGAAGAATGATTTGGCTTTCATCATCATTGGGAAACAGTTTAAAGCTTTCTTCAGTTTATTATAAAATTTAACTCATTTTCTTTTTATTATAGTTTGTTTGTTTGTTTGTTTGTTTTCTTCTTCCTTTTTTTTTTTTGATTGTTTTTGGTAAAGCGATGGTTGTTCGGATTTATTCATCTAAATTATAATAATAATAAAAAAAAAAAAATCTCAACTATATACACACACACGTACTGGCGTATGTAATTGCAATTATAGAACAACAAATGTTAACAAAATTAAAAAATTACACATAAATATACATTAAATACTCGTTTTAAAATCTTTACGAAAATTTCAAACGGAGAGTTACGAAATTTCGAAGTCAACACAATTATATGAGAATGAAAAAGTGCGAGAGAGAGAGAGAGAGAGACATTGATACGTAGAAAAGAACACAACATAACAGCATTTTGGTTAAAGTTTCAATTGTTGCAATGTTTAAGCAAACGCTGGCATACGGTAGTTTTAAATTTAACACCCAAATGATCAAAAATTAAGTCGGTCTCATCCAGTTTATAAGTGGGCGGAATATCGTTTATTTGATTATCAACGCCGACGTCCAAATTATCACTACTACCGTCTCTTTGGGCAAAAAGATGTTTAAATTTCTCGTTAAGACTCTGCTCGAGGACAGTATTGTTGTTATTAAAATATAGTACGTACGCCAATTCGACCAGATAATAATCAAGATCGGCCAAAAAGAAGCTCTCGCATTCGTCCATTTTATATTTACGATCAATAAAGTGCATAAATAAATGATAAATCAGGAACCTTAGGTCAGCTCTTCGCAACGGCACGTAGCCAGTATCCTTGGAAAAGTATTCAAATACTTTAAGGGCATGCGTGGATGTTCGTACATCTTGCAGGCATAATGCAAAGGCATCGATGAATTTAAAATTTAACATTAATGTACGTATTCGATACTCTAGGCGATCTTTAGAAAATTCCCGAATTTTATCTATATCGTATAGTCCGTGGAAAATGTACAAACAATAATGTATGTAGAGACGAAATTGTTGCTGTGCGTGGTCGAGACTGCTGCTTTGCTTTATCATCCTAATATCTTCATCGTTGCCGAGGTTTCTTGCTTTAGATGTTATCGGTCTATCTGAACTAGCATTGTCAGTTTGTGGCAAAATTGAAAATTTGCCAATTTGTTCTTTGAGGCTTTCTTCTTCTTCGCATGAACTATTTTCGCTATCTTTAATAAGGAGAGGATTGATCGACGATTGCATTGAGGTAGCGTCACTAATATTCTCCAAAGAAGATAACAAATCTTCAGATTCTTGATCAGTCAAGGCATTGTCAGTAATATCGCTTTGCGTGGTTAATTTGTATTGACGGGATGGCGACGGATCATCGCAGTCATAGTCTTCGAAATTAATATCAGCCTCCTGGACAAAATATGACTGATATCGCGGTATACTCTTTAGATAACGTACTCGTTCTGAACCAAGTCGTATACGCGGCCTGGGCAAATTAATCTCAACGGGTATTTCAATACACTGGCTCTCAAAACGCATTAAACGTTTGGTTGTAGGTAGACAAACCACCCGTTGCTTCATCTTGTCGATACTAGCACCTAAATCGCGGCCGCACTAAACAATTGAAAATTAAGATGTTTTCAATCAAGACGCTTTAAAAAACTGCATATTCTTACATCGAATTTTCGATATCCGACATCCCGGGGTATATACTGAATGATCGAAAAACCGTAAAAACTAATACGAAATCTTTAGTGTAGTATAGTATTTAATGCTAAGTTACACAAATCTGATTTGGATATAAACATATTGCATTTTGAGCTCCTGCGAAGGCTTCTCAATACATCATATAAATTCTGGTGCTATCAAATCCTTTGTTTTGGAAATATAAATCTGCTAATGTAGACAACATTTCTTTTTATAGGAGAAATATGCTTCCTGTAGGTGTGAAAGCCTATCCTTGCTGCCTCAAGCTTATATACTTTTCCCTCAATCTATATTGCGCTTTGCTGCAGCCCGAGCAAAGCTCGTAAATTTATTCCGTATTTTTAATACGTTTGATGTCAAGGCAAGGCAAAGAGAGAAAGGCAAAGGACGTAATTCAGTCTTACTCGATTTTGTCGCAGCATACTTGCAGTCTCGATTCTCTTTCCGTCATAAATAAGTCAAGTAAGATTCTAGCTATCACTTTTGTTAAGGAAGACTTCTATCCACCTTGCAGAATGCCTAATAACTCTATAACACGCAAGTACACAGGCGAATAAGATCTACAGCTGTGCAAGTAGTTATGATGCACTATGCAGACAGTATTGAGAAAACAGACGTTGTCGACCATCCGCTTTAAAGATTTCATAATGCCGGTCTGTGATTGCATGTCGGACACTTTGTTAGAATGAATGCAGCCATTGATAACGGTATCCGAAATATCTTGTAGTTTAAACTTTCTTAGCTTGAACTTTCTACACTTTCGAATTATAAGAATATCAACAGAAGGTGGGGCAGATATCGACCACAATGGATGTAAAAATATGAAAATGTCGTGTGATAAAAATCAACTGAATTAGGACATGTACCTGGCCATTTGAATTACCGCCAAACGCACGCACCATGTAATCTGTACTCATTACAAGAGTGAAATCTGCACCACAATCCACAAACATAGGATTTTCAATATTGTCAATGGGCGATGGTTTATTTACTGCCCGTCGCTCTTTATCTTCCGTGCCTAATTGATGCTCCAAATTTTTGCCCCAAGTATACAAGGTACGTGATGACGAAATTAAAGCAAAGTGGAAAAGTCCGCTAGACACCTATAGAGTAGATAGTTATATAGTGAAGACACATATATGTATGTATACACACAAATATAACGTTTTTTTTTACCTGTAATATTTGACCGGCAACTTCCGTAGTGTCAACCAAATGAGGCGACATGTGCGCATGCAAGTCCGTTTCTGCTGTAGGGTTGGGTGCACCAGGAGCTGCGGCCGATGTTTTCTCCGAACTTTCAGTGTGTTTTCTTTGCTCTACATCGTCATCGACGGAATTTTTTTCACCCGGCAGTATTTCTTCCATCACTTCATTCTCTACAATTTCTATATTATCAGCGACATCGGCAACAGCTAAGTCTTCCATTACAACCCCATCCGGTGGTAGTTTACTGGCGGCAGGCGGAGTTGTCGTTTCTTCTGGCACAAGTGTTATCGTCGAACTTTTCTTCTTTTCGACCTGTGGCGAATGAGACGATGACGTCTTTTCAGAAGAATCTACTATTGAATCTGTTGATGAAGAACTTGCGGTGTTCATGGTGGCTTCGAAACGTTTGCTCATTTCTCGACGTTGATATTCTTCAAGCTTTTGTTTCGCATTAGCCCGTCGTCGGATTTGATTTGCTAGTCGCAATGCTTGCGGGGATGAACCCCATGTGTACAAATATCCTTTCTCATCAACAGCTAACTGAAATGAAAAATTGTTTAATATACTAAATATTGGGTGAAGATAAGAAATATGTCCGTCGTTCCTCACATTAGTAAAAAATTTGGTATGAATCAGTCTTATATTTGCTGTGCTAAACTCTATTTTTTGAGGTAATAAACATTTCGCTTGATCACAAAAATACGATTCGTCTTCCGCCGGAGTAGTGTGCGGTTCATGCGTTTGCCCTAATTTACGAGGGCCCAAGCCCAGTTGGCCGAAGTGATTTGAGCCAAACACAAATAACTCAGTGTTTATGGCTTCATTCGAGCTCTGGCATAATACTAAACTGTGAGCATGCCCTAAGGAAACTTGTAGAATTTTCTGAAAAACATACAGCAAATTGAATACCTTCATGTCTTTTGCTATTTTTTGCTTGTACTCACTCTGAATTTGAAGAAGGGGACCACCTTAGGCTCAGCTACGTTTTCGGTGCCACCGTGACCAAGCTGTCCATAAATATTCCAACTAGTACGAAAAAAGAAGCATTCTTAAAAAACTCGCGATTTGATTTTTAAACAACTCACCCCCAAGTGAGCAATAGACCGTTGGCAACAACAGCGTTGTGATATTGTCCAGCTTCTAATATGGTAATGTCCATGCCGTCAAGAGTGCGAACAAGCATTGGCTGCAATGTCATTTGCATATGAGTCCCAATGCCCAACTGTAATAGATTATTGTTGCCTAAGGAATATAACTAAATAATTAATTATTGTAGATGATATAAGTAAGGATCTGGTTTATTTTTCAATGCACATACGCCATTGTTGGTTAATATCAATGTGTGTTGGCGACCACATTTTACAGCGTGGACTTCAAGATTTAATTGCGCTAATAATTCCAATTTCTTTACTGCATGAGGTGGTTCGGGTGGATCTAAAAATTAAAAATGCACAAAAGAGAGAAGGCGGCAAAGTTAATAGAGAAAGTTATTCTGGAAAAAAACACAAACACCAAGTTACCAGAAGACTTGCTGACACTATAATTACAAGGCACCCCATTCGAACCCCAGAAGTAGGCTACCCCGTCCACTATGCAAGCACAATGGGCACAACCAGCAGAAATGGGCTTAAACCTCGTCGACTCTATCGCAAACTAAATGTAGAAAAAAAAAAAAATTAAAATGAAAATGGATAAAATCCATGCTCTCTAGGTATGAATCTCACCTGATTATCTTCGTATGTCAAACGAAAAGTACTCAAAGCATTCGCTAAGCGGCCGTGGCTTGAACATCGCGAATCCATATATATTAGTATTGCCAAATATGTCTCAATGAGATTTTTACAAAACTCTAAATTGTAAGTATTATTGTCCCCCGCAAATTGATCCAAGTTAGATGTATGTGACACGATAGGCCGTAGAATCGCCGAAAATGGATTCAGTTGCCGTTCCAAACGCTAGGTAAAACGCAAAAATTTTATATGTATATATACATATTTTTCATTAGCATAAGTCAATTTCCGGAGTTTATTTGCTAAGATTACAATTATAACCTCTAGCTTTTTTCCTTCTAGTCGCATCAGCCCGTGAACGAGAAAATGACAGTCAAATACACCCGCAATAAATAAAAATTCAATTATTATACCTTTTCCTGAATTACGAGATTTCAGTTTAATTTGACTTAAAATATTTCTTTAAGTTCAAGAAGCTCTGCTCGTAATCTTTGCTAACTGTCACGGTGTCTGCACGTATTGAGGATACGCTCTGGGTGTTTGATATGAATAAGGCCTGCATATGTGTAAATAACTCTAGAAGATCTACATATTCCAACATATTTTTTATAATTGACAACGCTAGTAATGGCAAGACAAACAGATAGGCGGGAATAAATGACATACAAATTTTTTGTCTATCCCGGGAGCTTATGAATTTTTTGGGTTTCTGACGCCTATTCCTGGGTAAAGTCAGCGCACAAGAATACTAATACAATGGAGGAAACTTGAAATTTCAATTTTCATAAAAGGTGCGTTTTTGACTTTAATCGTAATCCGTATGCGGTTGTTCAGGTTACGCCTCATAAAGAAATTATCATGTTACGATATTGTTCTATAATGGTTTGCGGTATGCGATATGCATCAACGCAATTCTGCAACTAATATTGTGTCGGTTGGGTCCTTCCTGTCCACGGGATTAATTTCTGACTGTGAATCTGTGAGACACATAGTGCTAGGATTCGTTATAAAAGCACGCCTACGGATTAGAATTAAGTTGAATACATATTTTCAGTTTTAGATCTGACACCTTCATCCTTTTTGTAGGTGCCTTACATGCACGTTATTTTTTAAATAAAAATAATTATTTGAAAATGAATAAATAACGCTTACCTCTAAGACTTGCGGCCGTATGCTAAACATTTTCTCCTGGATGAAAGCAAAGTAATCAATTGCTATATTGGGCACATACGAGATTGTCTCAACAAATATGAGTTCACTTGCATTATACAGACACGCGTTCAATTCTGTGTACCAACCTAGGGCGAAAATATTTATTGCTTCCGCATGTCGCACCAGGAAAACTGTAATTTACCAAATTCTTGACCCACCACGCTTGCCAGTGCTAAAAAGGTATCGATGCATACTCCGCGAATTTTTGCCAAAACCAACGCAGATGAGAACAAACCGCTTTGACATAACACAATACTTGACATGTTAGTGTGATATTTAGCATTAGTAACCAGAAAATTCCTAAAAGATTTTTAAAATTTTAAATTAAACCAAACCACAATACAACACGTTTTAAGATTATATTCTTACCACAAGGGCATATAATTTTTATCGTTAACTGCTTTCTCAGCTAATGTAATTAAGAGTAAATTCGCTAAATGAAACTGAGACGAAGGCGACATTTGTGGATTACTCAAGGAATCATCCTCTCCATAGACGTAATCGCTACAAGAAAGACCCTCGGAAACTAAACTAATATTGGCAGAATAACTTTTTGGCGTAGGTGGCAAAATGGGCCGTACGTCTTCCGAGTGTCGATAGGTTATATCTGGTAGCAAAGTTTTAATGACAGGATGGCAAAAGTACCTCGATTTAAGAATATATGTGAGCTTAAGAGCCATTGCACATAGATGCATAAGAGCAGTCGTATGGCCGAACATTGCCAACTTTAAAGCAGTCCGTATGGGTTTAATGCGTGCCGCATTATACGTCAACAATGCTTGAGGAATTTTTCTACGCCGAAGTAAGTAATCACCAGCAAATTCTATGCACATCTCATAAGTCAGATCGAACGTATTGCAAAACTCACGACACTGAGTCCATTCTCCAGCTAATGCGGCATCCAAAAATATCGCGAAAGGTTCCTTTCTGTAAAATTCTTTTAATAAAAAAGCCATCCTTCGTTAAGTGAAAATATTCAACTAAACTTACTTGAATTGTATGCAGTAGATATTTTTATTCGTAATCACATAGCATGGGTCAAAGTTGATTTTCGGGAACTCATTTTGCATAATCTCCATTTGTCTAAGAGAGTATTCTTCGCGTACGTCAGTTGCTTTTTCATAGAATTTTACGTAATCCATTGGCGAACGTATTTCCTTATATTCGAATGCTTTGTCTTTGTCATCTTTGGATATGGTTTCATTTAAAGCTGTTGTGCGGTAAGTGGCCATTTGGTGCAGATTCAAGACGGTTTCGTTTTCAAACCGATATAATGCGAGTAGGGACGCTTTATTAAATTTCTTTAAAATGCGAATATGAGAACTGTTCATGAATTATGTGAATGAATAACTAACTACTTACGTCGCTTTCTCCAGTTCGTAATGAAGCCATAGCACTGCTAATTATTCCAACCGCATTAATAGAATTGCTGGGCGACAAACTGCTAGCACTCCGTTCTGAGTATGTAGATGCACTGCTCGTCTCAGCGATGCTTTCTTCGGCTTCATCGCTGTGGTCTGAATTTGATTCAAGCTGTTTTTTAGAATATTGCTCTTGTTTTTCTATGTCTGTATCACGATTTTCCTTTTCCGTATTTTCATTGCTTCTGCTTTTCGTTTCACTATTGATATCAACATATTGTATGGAATATAAAATATTCGAGCTAATCAATATATCGACACATTGATGCGGTATTTTATAGAGAAATAACGGTTTCAAATTTATGTCGATGCTGTGCACAGATAGACTATTGGAGTGCGAGTGTAGGGCACTCAGTAAATATGTTCCCCGCAGACTTTGTATGGTGTAGAAAGATCCGCCCGATTTGATTAATAACTCTGGCAATAGCGAAGGCGAATCTATTATAGCAAAAGAACCCATTGCGTTTTCCGGCATATCTAGAAGAAAATCAAAAATGAATAAACTTATATGCAAAAATATTTGTAAGCAATATAAGCATTTCGTGCAGCAGTTTTTTTAGATTTCTCGACAAAGCATTGAGTATCATTGTGTTCTGCGGTATTAGTTCGGAAAATTGTTTAAGAATATTTTTAAAACAACACGTTTTGAAAACTATGTGGAATTCATTCTTTTTCTATTTTGTTGGTGTGGTTATATGTTCTACGTTCGACACAAATTAAAGAACACAACAAGCAAACAAATAAGCACACTCACCGCAATCACGTCTACGCAAACGTTTTAGAACATTTTTGATAACTAAAAGTTATAACAAAGTTTTTTTTTCATTTGATATGGTTAAAGGATAAGAATAAGGAAAAATCGGTAATGAGAAAAGTCGTTTGACGTTTAAGATCCTCACCGTTCGAAATGGATAAAAGAACAAAGCTGGAGAATAATCTAAACAATAAGTCGCAGTACTCACATTCTTCCAACTTTTGGCGATTATCCGATAGCCGCATCTTAATTGCATTCAATTTCTTTGAACCTAATGATTTGAGCGATGCCAAACGGGCTCTGGCTGCGGGAAAGATACCACCCGCTATTCCATTGCTATCTTCTAAATCTGGATCATTGTTCGTTTGCTGAAATCTTACAACACTATTTGTAGTGAGTGTATCGCTTTGGCTCGAAGAAGCTTTACTTTGGGAAGCGATATTTGTTACTGGCGCACAATCCATACTGCGATTGACTGCCACTGAATACGGTGGAGGTAGTTTATTGCTATTTGTTTGAGAGTTTACGGTGGATGTGTAACCAAATGGAGCTGGGGGAAGCTGATTTACTTTATTACCGGTTGTTCCTAATTCAAAAGACTGTTCAGATTGTTTCAAAATTTTATTTTCAGCAGCATAGGATTCCTCAGTTTTAGGGACTGCATCTTCAATGGCTGAATACTCCTGTCCTAATGAAGCAGCTTGAGTGTTGGTAGTCTTTAATGGCATAACGATTTGCCAATCATCTTGCGGCTGAACTATAGAAGGGGAAATATCACCTGGATAGGTAAATTTGATGGTTTTTTGTTCTAATAGTAACTTAAATTGTTGCTTCAGAGAAGAAGTTATCTGAAATTTGTGGCTTTGTCAGTTACGATGTAAGCAAAATTGAAACATAACACAAACAAAGTTACCAGTAACAATACGCTTTCGAAAGTAATGTCTCGGCATATCACCAATTTTACAACTGAACCTGTTTCGATGGCTGTGCTCGCTACAAAAGGACAATTTGGACTTAAATCTACAAAGCAAATTGATCCATCGGAATAGCCTATGATAGCGCGATGTGCGCCTTCTGATGTTCGCCACCATTTCACTGATAGAGGATATGGGCAAGTGTTAGAAGCCATAAAAGACGTACTTTTAACTTGACTGTTGCCTGTCTTATCCGCCCCGCTAGTGGTTGGTAGCTGTGGATCTAACATTTCTTTGGGTATATTTTGAGCGAGAGATTCTATGTTGGAATCTTCAGCCTTTATTAACTCGTTTACAGGTGAACTCCTTTTTGCTTCATTTGCATTCGTACTCTCCATTTGTTTGGGTAATTCTTTATCATTTTCATCTCCTTTCGCTTGCTGGTTGACCGACGCTTTCGAAGACAATTCGATGGTATTCGGTGACTTACGATCATTTGTTGTTGTCGGGTTAGGGCACCTTTTTGAATTGGGGCATTCATGTGGACCAACAAATGGAATTATATATGAGGTCACTTGGCTGGTGCTAAATGGTAACAATTGCGTATCAGTTACTGTTGAATCCAAAAAAGATTTATCCACAACAGCTAGGGCGGGTACAATATGCAATGTGTTATCGAAACCTGTTAAAGAAAAATTACGATTGAAGCCAAAACGAAAATTGGCGATACCACTTATTAAGCCATTTGCATGGATGGATTAAAACATCGAAAACCTCATAAGAGTCGATAACTTACACAAAACTAACAGCCACGTTCCGGAGGGATCAAAACAGACTTCATGAATAACTTGATTTGTTCGACGAAACCATGAGATCAGTTTAAGGATTTCTAAACCACTTGCATTAGTATAGCGCAGTACAATGTCATTTTCTTCGGCTACTAGGCACAACAATTGTCTATTGTCATTATACTCCGTAACGGTGGAAAGTTTACAACAAAAGTTTGTAATTAAAGGACGCAATTCAAATATGTCCAATTGCTGTAAAGGCGAAGTCATAACGCAGAGCTCTGAAAAGATGATATTTCAAAGCAGAAGGGTGCGGTCTGATTTCGACTCCGTTCACGGCAAATATTTTTAATAATGAAATACTTTATTTTGCTGCTTTTTGAATTATTAAGTTACAAAACTAGTCCTAATGCGACTAACGTTGTATTTTCGCCGTATTTCAGTAATGTTTACGGTATGTTTCCTTGAAATAGCACACAAGTCTGCTTAACCTCCCACCAGTCTCCACTACTTTTTTCACATACAACACAAAAAAAAAAAAATAATAAAAATCGACGAGTTTAAGTGTGTGTTTAGGATGCTCTGCTAGCCAAATACTTTAGATTCTCTCGCAACGTTTTGGAAAATTTTACATGATTATGCTTTAAATTTCATTTATAAATTATATGCACGTTATAATTGAGCAATTTTTAGCCGGTATTAGAAATTTTTAAAGATTATAAATCAATAAATAGTTGCTTAATTTCCACACGAAAAATTTTTTTTATGTAGTAATTGTCGCAAACTTTTACGGCATTGCCAACTAAGTTTCCTATTGTTCGAAATTACAGTAATTTAGTAGCACTCAAAAGTGATGCCTAATTTTTTGCAATATTATCAGAAATAGCTGAAGCTTTCTAAAGCAGTAATTATAAATTTAACAAATAGTCAAAGAATAATTTTTTATCAAAAGCTACATATTTGAGAATTATTACATGCACGTATATATATTGTAATAACAATATGTACACAAATATATTTGTGGACGAATTTATATCTGTAATATTAATAATATCGTATATTTATTCCGCTACAATCTGCTGTTAGAAAAATTATTGAATTATATTTCAAATAATTTTCTTTCCAATTTATTTGAAAGTCGATGCTGAAAAAATATTTTTTTTAAAGCCAAGACATATGCACAATGCAGATATGTGTTAAGGTTTCGATGTTAGCGCGTTTAAAGTATATATTACACTCAATTTAAATATGAGTTGTTGTCTAAAATAATTTTAAAAAAATCTAATATTACAACATATAATAATTCAGACAATCGATGGAAATAAAATGCACAAATTTTTGCTTTTTCACAATTAATCTCTTTCTTTCTCATCTTTCTTAGTACAATAAAACATCGAAAGTTCAGAGATTAGAAGGCATATTCTCGTAAGTAGTAAATTCTATGATATATCGTAGTGTCTGATTACTTTTGACTGTGCTTTTTTTTATTTGCTGAATGTAGTAGGAGTTTTGCGCCGTTTTTCACATAATGGCGGCTATGAGTTGTTTTTAACACAATTGTGGTGGTCATGACTCGTTTTAACATAGTTGTGGAAGCTATGAGTTGTTTTTACGATAGTTGTGGGGGCTAGGAGTCAGGTGTTTTTAGCATAGTTGTGGAGACGTTTTTATCAGAGTGCATTGCATAGTTTAACATCTCTGATTAATTGAGATTTTCCGTGTTTATAACATGTTAATAATTGCAATCAAAATTTTTTTTAAATATATAATAGGTTCCAGTTGCGTCAATCCGCCCAGTCTCTGCAAACAATTTTTGAATGCGCAAATAAGATAATCGTAATACACAATATATTGAATATATTCGCGGGCATTCCCCGTTAAACGAGCTGCAAAGTTGTGACGAGTTATGTGTACTTTGAGATTACAATCAAAGAAATTTTCTCCGCCTTCCTTTCTATAAAAAAACATATATACATACACATAAGTATTTTTATGTATATATACATATATATATATATATATATATATTAGTATGCATCCATCTCCAGCGGCTATTAAACATCAATGCCTCTGCAAGAGAGTCTAAGCTAAGAGAAAGATAAATAATAAAAGCACAACAAGTAGAAAGCAAACAAGGAAAATTCGGTTAGAAGCGAATCTTATAGGCACTGTAATAAGACAATTTAATATCAAATGAATTATATTGGGTCTGCTGTTCGTTTTTTTTCTTTTTTTTTTGTAGGTATTAGTTAAGCTGATTTACACCATTTTTACGCACAACGTTTACCGCTGAGGATCTGTATGTTTTTTTTTTATTTTTTCGAATTTTTTTTAAATTGCAATTTCTAATTTGTGAATTTTGCCTTTTAGTCATGTCTTAAAGTTTTTGTTTATTTACTTTTATTTATTCTATTTATCCATTTTTTTCTTTTTTTGATTTTAATTTTTTCTTTAATTTATTTTAATTTTTATTTTTTGCTTGCTTTTATTTCTTTATTT